AATACCTAGATATGTTTTAAAATGCAATTTAAAGCATTTTTGGTTTTGATCATAGTAGGCTATTTTCAAAAAAATATCGATTTTATATCTATATTAGCATTCTTTATCATTTATTATACCTAGATATGTTTTAAAATGTAATTTAAAGCATTTTTGGTTTTGATCATAGTAGGCTATTTTCAAAAAAAAATATCGATTTTATATCTATATTAGCATTCTTTATCATTTATTATACCTAGATATGTTTTAAAATGCAATTTAAAGCATTTTTGGTTTTGATCATAGTAGGCTATTTTCAAAAAATTATCGATTTTATATCTATATAAGCATTCTTTATCATTTATATTACCTAGATATGTTTTAAAATGAAATTTAAAGCATTTTTGGTTTTGATCATAGTATGCTATTTTCAAAAAAAATATCGATTTTATATCTATATTAGCATTCTTTATCATTTATAATACCTAGATATGTTTTAAAATGCAATTTAAAGCATTTTTGGTTTTGATCATAGTAGGCTATTTTCAAAAAATTATCGATTTTATATCTATATAAGCATTCTTTATCATTTATATTACCTAGATATGTTTTAAAATGCAATTTAAAGCATTTTTGGTTTTGATCATAGTAGGCTATTTTCAAAAAATTATCGACTTTATATCTATATAAGCATTCTTTATCATTTATATTACCTAGATATGTTTTAAAATGAAATTTAAAGCATTTTTGGTTTTGATCATAGTATGCTATTTTCAAAAAAAATATCGATTTTATATCTATATAAGCATTCTTTATCATTTATAATACCTAGATATGTTTTAAAATGCAATTTAAAGCATTTTTGGTTTTGATCATAGTAGGCTATTTTCAAAAAAAAATATCGATTTTATATCTATATTAGCATTCTTTATCATTTATTATACCTAGATATGTTTTATAATGCAATTTAAAGCATTTTTGGTTTTGATCAAAGTAGGCTTTTTTCAAAAAAATATCGATTTTATATCTATATTAGCATTCTTTATCAATTATAATACCTAGATATGTTTTAAAATGCAATCTAAAGCATTTTTGGTTTTGATCAAAGTAGGCTTTTTTCAAAAAAAAAATCGATTTTATATCTATATTAGCATTCTTTATCATTTATTATAACTTGATATGTTTTAAAATGCAATTTAAAGCATTTTTGGTTTTGATCAAAGTAGGCTTTTTTCAAAAAAAAATCGATTTTATATCTATATTAGCATTCTTTATCATTTATTATAACTTGATATGTTTTAAAATGCAATTTAAAGCATTTTTGGTTTTGATCATAGTAGGCTTTTTTCAAAAAAAAATCGATTTTATATCTTTATTAGCATTCTTTATCATTTATTATTCCTAGATATGTTTTAAAATGCAATTTAAAGCATTTTTGGTTTTGATCATAGTAGGCTATTTTCGAAAAAATATCGATTTTATATCTATATAAGCATTCTTTATCATTTATAATACCTAGATTTGTTTTAAAATGCAATTTAAAGCATTTTTGGTTTTGATCATAGTAGGCTATTTTCGAAAAAATATCGATTTTATATCTATATAAGCATTCTTTATCATTTATAAAACCTAGATATGTTTTAAAATGCAATTTAAAGCATTTTTGGTTTTGATCATAGTAGGCTATTTTCAAAAAAATAGCGATTTTATATCTATATTAGCATTCTTTATCATTTATAATACCTAGATTTGTTTTAAAATGCAATTTAAAGCATTTTTGGTTTTGATCATAGTAGGCTATTTTCAAAAAAATATCGATTTTATATCTATATTAGCATTCTTTATCATTTATTATACCTAGATATGTTTTATAATGCAATTTAAAGCATTTTTGGTTTTGATCATAGTTTGCTATTTTCAAAAAAAATATCGATTTTATATCTATATTAGCATTCTTTATCATTTATTATACCGAGATATGTTTTATAATGCAATTTAAAGCATTTTTGGTTTTGATCATAGTATGCTATTTTCAAAAAAAATATCGATTTTATATCTATATAAGCATTCTTTATCATTTATAATACCTAGATATGTTTTAAAATGCAATTTAAAGCATTTTTGGTTTTGATCATAGTAGGCTATTTTCAAAAAAAAATATCGATTTTATATCTATATTAGCATTCTTTATCATTTATTATACCTAGATATGTTTTATAATGCAATTTAAAGCATTTTTGGTTTTGATCAAAGTAGGCTTTTTTCAAAAAAATATCGATTTTATATCTATATTAGCATTCTTTATCATTTATTATACCTAGATATGTTTTATAATGCAATTTAAAGCATTTTTGGTTTTGATCAAAGTAGGCTTTTTTCAAAAAAAAATCGATTTTATATCTATATTAGCATTTTTTATCATTTATAATACCTAGATATGCTGGAGAAAAACTGAAGAAAAAAAAAACAATAGTTACTTTTAACATTCAAATGAAAATGTAAATGAAAATAATTCAGGCATTTTAATTATTCTCTCATCTACGTCAATGATGTCAACCTGTTTTAAGGATTAAGCACACGAAAATGAAGCAAACAAAATGAATAATTTTTGCAAAAATTAAAAATTCCAACCTTTTAAGAAGAAAAAAAAATCATGTGAACAAAATAATATTAAGAAATCATCAATGAATAATGAAAGCAAAATATCCAGTGCCGCAAGTTTGAAGATAAGCACAATTGGCCAGTACTCAAGCATATAAAACATAGAGATGATCAGAAATCAACAAAACCACGAAGACAAATTTGTGGAAGATTTAAAAGAAATCTGATCGAGTGACTGATGTGATGTCAACAGAAGTGAGAAAACACATCAAATAATTAAAGTTTACCTCCTTTTTCTGTCGAGTGCAAAGAAGAATGTCCACTTATGCCACTGAAAGTGACACAATGTGTTGGAGCTGTGGTAGAAATCATAGTGCGAATCATCGAGGATGTACAGCTTATAAGAAAAAATTCATCTACGTCGAAGTATTTCTATGGTTTGCAAAGGATGTTGGACATCTGGCAGAAAGTACTTCCTAGGAATTCTTGTTACTTTACGTAGAAATTTAAAGGAAAACGTAGGAAATTTCCCTAGGAATTTCTAAGGACATCCTCTAATTCCCTAGGAATTTCTAGGAATATTTCCTACGTATTTCTTTAAGGTAAAAGCTTTATCCAAAAATGTTATTAGCTTCACGAAAAAATTTAAAAACAATATTTTTTCATCACGATCAAATCACGTGGAAAATACTTCTTTTTCACAAACTTCAAATACTCCCATGAATACTCTATACTATTAAGCACTATCTTCCAGCCACATTAAATCACAGCTGTTAATTATATAATGTGAGTTAAAGTGGCTCGATGGCGGAATGGTTAGAAACTTCCGTACCTAATAATTGCAATTTTTACACAATCATGGATTAAGGTATATAACATGCAGCTATATCTCTTAAGATCTCAACAGCTAATGTTTATTCATTTGTCTTACAATTTACTATACTTAAACTTACGGTATACCCTAACCCACAAAAAGCTTAAAAAATAACGATCACGATTATCGAGACGATACCACGGTACCTATTTGAGCTGATTTGAGCAAGAAAATTAAGCGTGTCTTTTGAGAATCTTATTTATCGAGCTTTTCATTTAGATCAGAAGAGCTTGTTTTATATCCTATGCTATTTAGCATCAATTTACAGCTGTAATAAAATTAAAGATGTAGATTACAGATGAGCTTAAGTCGTTAAGCAAAAATTAAATTACAGCTCTAATTTACAACTGTAGTTTATTGAGCTTAAATAATTATAATAATAGTTGGATCAATTTTCTCGAATTTTGCTGGTCTCGACTGTGATTTTTCCTTTTACAAAAAGTCTAGTGAAAAAGGAGCTTGCATATTATATACAACCAAAGAAGGAAAACAAATTGATTTTCATTATTATTTCATCATAATTATATTTTAATTGAACTAGGATTTCTTAGTATTTCCTAGGAACCTACGTAAACTTCTACGTAATTCCTAGGAATTTCTAGGAATTACTTTCTGCCAGATGACGATGAGCCTTTTATAATGATTATTCAGTCATCGCTGGTTTTGTTGTGTTCATCATCAATCATTTAATGGGTAAGGGGTCTTTAGTTTCATAGATTTTGATCTCCTTTTAAAAAAGTGATGGACTTAAAGACATGATATTCTGGAAGGTGGCATTGCTTTCATTTTGATCTAACAATTACTCATTTTCAAGAACGACATGCTTTTTCTTGTTAATTCTTAGGACGATATGCGAGAGGGAAGGAGGAAAAGATTATTGAAATAAACGACTGATGACTAAGACCCCCACTCCAAAAATAGATCTGGGCCCCGACGAAAAAAAATTATTCGTGAGTGATGCTTTAAAATCATAAATATCTCCGAAATCACAATAGTGACAAATTTCAAAGTTATTTTATCTTGTAGGAAACAAAAATTTCTATCTTTTGACATACAACTTACTTCCTAAAGTTAAGCAGTTATGTCGGAAAAGCACTTTTACTAAGCGTCACTCACGAATAATTTTTGGGAATTTTGCCACAACTTTGTCAGTTTTAATTGATATATCTTCAAATGTATTTTTTTAGATCAGAAATTTTATTCTCTTTTATTTGGTTTCAAAAAAAGTAATAAATTGTCCCCGAAACATGCTTAAATGAACAAAATTAAGTTAAAAAAATTTTAACGGTTTTAAATTTTTTGAATTTTTTTGTCGTGAGACGTTTGTTTACAAACAAAAATTGAAATGAAATTTAAAAAATCATGAAAATATCACTCAATAATGATGTTGAAGCTCTTAAAATAGGCAGAATAGCTAATGTATCATCTACTTTTCGTAATCATATCATAATATTTGGGAATAATGATTGAATAATTAAGATATTTGAGAATTTAATTTTTGATGTTTTGTAAGATAGTGTTAGTGAATTTCAAATTTAATTTTTCCGTTGAGCAATAATCCTAAAAAAATCGTCGAGGCCCATCTAATAAATTCGGATTCTTTCATGATCTGCCATATTCACATTAACTTCTGGATTTTGAAACTGACCAAGTAAGGAACAATAGACTGCTTTAGGATCAAATGATCCGAAATTTCCACTCCAATATTCATTTCCTGGATAACTGTTTCCATCCCATGCAAATCCAGCGATTGAGATACAATCTTTAAATTCTTCTGGTAACAGCTCTGCTACATATCGAAGCTTATTGATGACTTTAATATCATGAGTTGCTTCTTTAAAGTGAAGAACAATTTCATTATTATTAGTCCTGATCTCTGTGATAGTTCCTTTAGTTTTGAATGATTTATAAAATTGAACATCAAGTTCAGGCAAAACTAATGCTTTTAAATATTTCAGGCTCTTAAAGTCATCAAATGAATCTAGAAACTTCAATATTCCTTTAACAATCAATCGATGAACTGTCTCCCTTTTTAGTCCAATAGCCCAACATCCTGTAAGATTAATATATAAAAGTTAAGATTCAAAAAAGGAATAAGGATATACTTAATACCTCCACCGATCGCAGGCACACTACAAAATACTCCTTTATTCTTTTCAGTTCCTCGCATCATAGCTTCTTGGATGAAAGGCAATGTGGAAAGAGTCAAGCGCTTTTCTAAATATACTTCATTGATTCCCTCTACATATATGGAATCGTATATTTCTGGTCGAGCTTGAATGTCCTCAATAGTTGGAACAAATTTCTCAGGAAAAGCATCAGAATAAACTTTTTCGATCCAAAACTTGTCCGATTTATGACAGGCAATGGTTGAATCCTTTATTCGAGGAAATGTGAATCGGTGTTCCATAAAGTTTAATTTTCCATGCCGAGCTCCAACTAATCCACATAAAATACCTTCATCAATGTGAGGCTGATCAGCATTTAAAGCAAATCTTCCAGATCCAATTGAAAAGTAAAATGTTGGAGTTGACATCCCTATTAAGGATGACATCAGATTTTCGTCATAAGATATGTATTCAGTTAAATAAGGTCCAGAATCTTGTGGCTTATTAAGACATTCAGCGACATTGTAAAAGCCATTGTCACCTTCTTTTATTTTCTTCCCATCATGCCTCAAAATGTAATAGTCCATTCTTCCACAAAATACCAACGGACGTTTAAACAGCAATCTTTTGACAAAGTCATATCTATTTAAATTTTTATAGACAGCGCTGTAATTTTCTCCCTCAATTCCTGGAAGATTTTTCAGAAAATCCATGTAATCATCAAGCAAATCCCAAGTTTCTTTAGCTATAATTGGTCTCGCGTCTCGTGCCATATGGACAAGCCTCTCCTTTGTCCTTTGAGCATTCATAACATTATAAAATACATTACGATCAATGTCCCTAACGATTTTTGGAAGAGGTGCTATAAATTGCTTGAAATTTCTCTTCATTTCTTGAAATTCTTTCTCAATTTCGTCATCTTTTGATGGTTCTTGGACAAATCAATGACAATATATTAAGCTCTATTAAGTAACCAATAGAAAAGTTATGTTACCTTGAATCTCTTCCTTAACTTCGTAGTTAAATAAGTTTTTCACAAAGTCTTGCAATTGCCTTGCCATTTTTATGAGTCACTGGCTGAATGTAAACTTTTGTATTTTTCTTTTTACCGATTTTCTCACCATGCATTCCATACGTTACGTGGTGAATTTGCAACTGAACAGAGATATCTAACGTACAGCACTTTATATATTGTGAAATGATGCAATGCATTGAAAAGCTTTGTAAACTAATGAGGTGTCCATCTACAAATAGAGACGATGAACGATGAAGACATTACAAATTTTACTTTCAAGTAGTCAGCCTAATTGTTAAAAACGTGAATGGAATTTCCAGGTAAACATTTGTGTTAAACATCATTAGATTTTATTATCAATTCAAAATTATTTAAATACAAAATTATACTTTAAATGTTTAATAAATATGAATTCTTTCAGGATCTGCCAACTTTACATTAACTTCTGGATTTTGAAATTGACCCAACAAAGAACAATTTATGGCTTGGGGATCAAAAGATCCCATCATTCCAAACCAATATTCATTTCCTGGATAACTGTTTCCATCCCAAGCATATCCAGATATTGAGATACAATCTCTGAATTCTTCTGGAAGTAGTTCTGCAACATAACGAGAGCGATTGATGATTTTCAGTTTGTGATCAACAGGTTCTTTGAAGGTTATAACAATATTTTCGTTAACAACTTTAATTTCCTTGATATTTCCACTTGCTGCAAATCCTGAATACATTTTAGGATCTTCTACAGGAAGAGCCAAGGCTTTCAAATGTTTCAAATTTGGATGATCATCGTATGAATCTAAGAACTTTAGAACTCCTTTAACAATTAGACGATGAATTATTGATCCATTTCACAATGATTCAGATTCGGAAAAAATGTTCAAAAATTCCTTGTGCACAATATTTTTCTGACACATTAGAAAATTGAAAGTTTTTGTTGATTTCTTTTGATTTGATTCTTTTAGCATCTTCTACATAATATTTTCGTTCATTGCTCAAAAAATCAGTCCTTAATATAAAGGATAAACATGTTTTTTTATCAAAAGTTTGTAAAAGTTTATCAAAAAATATTGTGCATGATCAAACTTTGTATGAAATTTTATGTAAACTTTGATCGCAAATATCTCGAAAACGGCATCAAACGGCATGTCCTCAGTAATATGGGAGATAGATTAAAGCTTATTTAATTGATTTATATAGGTTTCAGAGAGGTCTTTGGAAGACTTTTTAACTTATGAATAGTTTAAGTTTTGTAAAAATACTCAGATTTCAATTCCATTTTTAAGGCTTAATAAGCAGATTTCTATTGAGTTGGTTGTTTTAATATGTAGAGCTAAGCTTAAATTAGCTAGCAACTGCTTTCAAGACATCCAAATAACAACTTAAAGTAGAAAAAATCACATTTCTTTTTTCATACTCAAATTGTAAACAAATTTTGGGTGAGATTAAATTAATGATTTCTGGAGTTAGACAGCAAATAGGAACGAGATATTTTTAAAGGATATGCACAAAGGAAAGATCTTTTATCTGGCATTTAAAAGGCAAAGTTTAATTAACATGAAATTTTTGAATTTTTGAACATTTTTTTCGATTCTGAATCATTGTGCATTTATGCACTTTGCCCAAACTCCTAAAATACAATCAGCTATAGAGTTAGACATCAAAAAACTTTATAGTTATCACAAACCAGCTCCGATCGCAGGCACACTACAGAATACATCTTTATCCTTCTCAACTCCTCGAGACATAGCTTCTTGCATGTAAGGCAACACAGACAGCATTAATCGCTTCTCTAGATATACTTCATTAACTCCATTGATGTAAATTTTATTATAAATTTCAGGCTTAGTTTGAATGTCTTGAATTGTTGGAATAACTTTCTCAGGAAAGGCATCAGAATATACTTTTTCAATCCAAAACTTATCAGACTTGAAAACTTTTGTGTCAAAGTCTTTTGATCGAGGAAGTGTGAAACGATGTTCCATAAAATTTGGTTTTGAGTTTCTAGCACCAACTATTCCACATAAAATACCTTCATCAATAAATGGCAGCCTTGCTTTACCTTTACCTCCAATCGAAAAATAATATGTTGGAGTTGACATCCCTATTAAGGACGATAATAGATTCTCATCATATGAAATATATTCTCGTAGGTACGGAGATGAGTCAGAGATCTTGTCTAGATTCTTAGCAACATTTTTAAAATCATTTTTCCCTTCCATCATCTTATTTCCATCGCATCTTAATAGGAATCTATCAGATGGACCATAAAATACGACTGGACGTTTAAATAGCAATCTCTTGATTAATTCATGTCGAGTTAAATCTTTGTAAATAGCTCTGTAGTTTTCACCTTCAATTCTTGAAAGATTTCTCATAAAATCCATATAATCATCAAGCATATTCCAAATTTCTTTAGACAAGAATGGTCTAGTTTCTCTTGCCATATTTGACATCTTCTCTTCTGTTCTATTTGAATTGATAGCATTATAGAAAACATTGTGCTTGATGTTTTTCACTTTTTCTGGTAAAGGTTTGATGAATTGTTGATATCTGATTTTCATTTCCTCGAATTCATTATTATCATCGTCATTCATTGGTCGTTTTAATGTTTTTTTGCCTAGAATGAAGTAAGTATAGTCAGGTATTTTTTTTAATAATATTATGAAATACTTACTGTTCATTTTAAATATTCTCCTAAATTTGATAGAATTTTACCAAATAATCTTATAATTGCACAGAATGTCTATGACTCAATTTGTTAATTGCACAAAAAAGCTGGGAATAAATAATTAATAAAATTTGCTTCTAGCTGCAGTTTTTGTAAAATCCACCACTAAATACACAAGTGTGTGGTGAGTTTATAGTGTCCAATCATATGGCAATATTCGTTAATATTTGACATTTGAGATAAAACTCCATAAATTTGAAATTTTATAATAAAATTTTTTATTTTATGTCCAATATTCATTACAAAATTCTTAAACTTTTTTGAATAATAATAAAAAAATAAATTGTTTTAAAACAAATAAATTACAAGCATAGAAATTTTTTTGTATAAAATAAAATATAATTGTATATAGATCGATTAGCAATTAATTCTAATAAAAATAATAATAATAGAGAGGACGGAAGAGATTCTTTGTTAAGTATACGAAAAGGAATGTAATTAAAAATTCTTGAGTCATCTCTAAAATGCAAACAATTTGATGAATTTCAAAAATTTGCTTAATTTGGACAAATTTTTCAAAAATCGTGTGACATGACACAACACCTTATGACATGTCACAGACAACATGCGACATGACGAATTGACAGAATGTCACTTGGCATTTTTAATTACTAATGACAGATGACATGTTTTATGTCACTGATGAGATGTGACGTGTGACATACGACATGTCACATCGAAAGAAAGCAATATCCTTAAAATACATCAAACTGATTGCATCCTAGTCAAATTCTTCAAGACTGATCTTCCAATGAAAAAATTAAATTATTATGTTGAATGACACAACGACGACAAAATTTTCGTACAGACTTATAGCCATCAGCTGTTATATTACAATCTTGAATATTTAAAAGCTGTAATCCACGGCAATAATATGATATATACTTTATACCCTCATCTGTTATCATATCACAATTTTTTAAGCTCAGCTTCTTTAAATTTGGACAACTCTCGGCTAATGAAATGATTCCAGCATCACTCACGTCTGTCTTGCCAATATCTAACGACCTTAATCGCGAGCATGATCGGGCAAGAACAATTATGGAATCATCGCTTATGGCTTCACATCCCCGACAATTTAAGTATCGTAATTTATAGCATCTTCTAGCTAAATATTTTAATCCAACATCACTTACTTTGCACTTTGCAACAGATAAATAGCGCAGCGTCTGTCCCAATTTCGTTAATTCATACAGACCGAAATCTGTCACATTCAGACAATCCGACACACTCAGTTCCTTTAAGGCAATGCAAAATTTTGATATATTCTTTAAACTAGTATCAGTGAGCATCATACATCGTCGTAGATAAAAATAGATTAGTAATGGACATGTCTTAACAATTAATCTCAAGCCACTGTCATCGAGTGCTGCACAATCAGTCAAATCTATGTATTGCAGTAATAACTTTCGTGGCCCATCAGTTCCAATATTCACATTAATACATGATATTTGTGAACATCCAGTGATGTCTAAATGCTGAAGATTTGTGCACTTTGAAACAAACTCGATGAGTGACTGATTTGAGAATGTTGTACAAAATTGAGTCTGTAGATGCGTTATATTCGGACATTTTCGTATAATCATTTGTAATCCTTTATCTGTTATCTTGCATCCATCACTTAACATTATACGTTCGACATTTGAACACTTTTCACTATTCTCATCCATAAGCCTTCTTAATATGCAATTTAATGCCTTATCACCAATTATATCTTCACCTTTTAATGTTATTATCTTCCATAAAATTGGATTCCAAATTAATTTCTCAAATCGTCGACACACCGAGGCTAATATCAATAAATCATATGTGTCTAGCCATTGAAAGATTTTTATTACTAAATCGTTGGGAAGTAAATCGAATATGGAATGTGATTTATTTGGATTGATCATGAATGCCGAATTTCTGCCCACTTTTGTTAGACTGCATATACTTTTAGCACTGATTGATAAATTGGCAACTTTGTGTGCCAAACTTACTGTATTCATTGCTTCTTTGACGAGTTTTGACGTGACATGAACTTGTGGATTTAAATGATTACTCAGAGCCGATTGTGTTGGCGAGGATAAGAGTGTGGCATATCCTTGATCAAAACTACTCGGTGAGTTCCTATGTACTGGTTCCTGATGATGATAATAACTCTGATGATGAATGTGAGTATTTTTTTGTAAAAAATCCAATTGATGTGCATCCAGACTCGATAACGATGAGGATGCAAAATGTTGATGATGCTGTAAATGCTCGTGATCCGATGATGAATCTGAAAATTATTAATTTTATTATCAGTTTTAGTTTGGGGGGGTATCAGCTTACCTTGCAGATAATCCATTTTAATTTGTTCTTTCAGCAGTATCTCCTTTATATCAAGACTTTATTCTCTTATTTTAACATCATTTTTATAATTTTTACGGCAAAAAATGCTAAAAAGAATTGAAATTATTGATAATCTGCGTGCAACATAATAATACACGATCGATGGGAAGACAATAGAGCCTGCGGTTGTAAAAATGTGAAGCAAGAAAAAAAAACAGGTTTCGAATGGAATTTACTGACAAGAATGGGAAAAAATTCTTTTGAATCCAATTGGCTATTTAACAATAATCTTTAATTTAATTCACTAAAATTGTTCAGCTTGGTGCCATCAATCACTTCCGATTTTTTTTTTAATATGGAGCACTTTAATGTTAATAAATTTATTGCACAACTTACCTACTTATATATATTTATTTCTTTTCTTTTCTTCAAAGGAATTTGAAAGTTTGCCTTATTAAATTTTTTTTATCTTAAGCATCACAATTAGTTTAATTTTTGAAATAAATTTAGTTGAACACGTTAGGGATATAGTAAATGATCACAAATTGAATAAAATTTTAAGTTTTATAATTAAAATAACTAGAATAATTAAAGATTAAAAATTCGATTGATCGACGAAAAAAGTGAAAATATGTGCAATGAAAGCTTATAATTAAGGCATGAGCTTTTTTTTGGAGACTTGATGATCAGTGTCCGTAAACATCATGCAGATCGATGGACCAACTTGTAAAGAACATGGATTGAACGAAACTCAACACACCACGTGGTCACCACGATCGTGGTGAGTTTAACATTTTTCAATAGATTACTGCTCCTATTTACAATAAAAGGTTCCAGTAACATAGCTAATGTGTTTGGGGCCATTCACTTATTACGTAACGCTTTAAGGGGGGGAGGGGGGTCTAAGATTTTGTTACGGTTCAAACAAGGAAATTTTTTTTTCATACAAATTTTGTTACGAGGGGGGGGGGGGGTCTAAAAAGTCATTTTTTCGCGTTACGTAATAAGTGAACAGCCTTTTTTGGAACAAGATATTAAATTTTTGAGATTTCCTTTATAATTGAAATTGTAAAAATTAATTAATCATTTTATTGACTTTTTTTTTTAAACATGAACATAAGATACGGCTACACAAAAACAACAATGAGTTACACTGACTATCAATAATATTGGCAAAAGTAAAACAATAAGGAATTATAATAGATAAGGTATGGATAATGTGGACGACATACTTAAACCTAAATCAGTGAGATACTGTGCAAATAATATGAGATTATTGAAAGGAGATCCAAACTCTGTCATTTAATGTCTTCTCAAGCGCATCATAATCATGAATGATGCAACTAAGATTCCGTTGACTAATAAATGTCCATCAAATGCATCGACAAAGACTCGTAGCTGCTTTAAAGTTTCGAGGAGTTTCGGGTAAGTTTCCTTCTCTTTTTTCGTTGGAATCTTTAAATTCTTGATCAAATCCGTTAGTTCTTGACTAGTTAAGCTCATTGGTGGCAAATATTCAGTATTTAATATCTTTCTTGTGTACAGTCCAGCATTTTTCTTAGAATTATCATAAGGAACGTAACTTACACGCATAAAAGTAACCCGAACAAATTTTGGTGGCATCTTCATCTTACTCAAATTCTCACGTCCAAGAAGTGACAATGCTGCTCTTGAGTTTCTCAATAAATGCTTTACAAGGCTTGCTAGCCAAAAGTTCTTTTCTAGTTTTGCGCCTTTTCCAACAGCTTCATAGAATCGAAAATCAATTCGTGAGAAAAATGGACCAGCATAAGGCATTGAATGATTTAAATTAGCTGGACGATAAGAGACATCAAATTCTTTCCATTGTTTCGGTTTTGACTTGTCAGGCTTCTCAAGATCCGTATATTGAATTCCAAGTTCCAATCGTTCAGATCTCATTTTCCTCAAATGCAATCCATATTCGTGAACTATATGATATTTATGAAAGACTTCTTCGTATGCCTGACCAATAGTTGTATTCATAATGTTTGTGTCTGGATGTAATTTGCCATGAGGAACTGTCGAGCAGCCAATCAAGCTAATAGCAACTAAAGTAAGTGCCAATAAATGGATGATTTTAGATAATTTTGCGAAACATCCTCGTGTATTCGAAATATTTGGATGAGAGATGCAAGACTGCAGAAAAACATTAATTATCGCAATTGTGGCAATGAACGGTGAAAATTTAACCATTTGACGCAGCACATCCATATATTGTTGCTTCGTAAACACTACAAATAATGTTAATTAATGTTATATAAATTTAAATAAATTGAAATTAATACACTTACATATCTGTGCATCTAACATTCCATCTTGCCATGTAATCTGATAGCACTTCATTGTAATAATTATAATGAAGAATATCGCTGCCAATGTTAACACGAATGAGAAAATCTTTCGATAGCTTACACCATTTTCAGATTCGCGTGATTTGAAATGGGAATCGTCAAGCAATGAGAACATCATAGAAATGATTATAAAGTTGAGATATCCATAATTTCCTGTAGCAATAATGCAGAGTTGAAGGAACAGAAGCCAATAAAATGCAAAAATTCGGAGACTTCTTATTGGTGCAAAAAAGAACCACGGAATTAAAAGTTCAGATAGATTGACGAAAATCGTTGTAAGCTTCAAATATCCATCAGACATGTAGAATGAATAGAATGCTAAGTTGGTTGGTAAAGGCAATGTCAGCATGTGATGCTTTATAGCTGTTAAATTCCACCAATGTGGGCAACCTGATGCTAATTTTACAGCGCCTGACGTAAATAGGAATCTGTGAAGCATGGTAATTTTTTAATTCAGCAACAAATTAATAAATGTAAATCTAATATACCTGAATAGAACCCATTTCATAAGAACAAGCATTACATTATCGGATACGCCATATCGTTTACTAAACATCGGTGCTAGTAAAATACAAACTAAACCGGCTTCAAGTAGTAAGTCATCAGATTGATGATGAAAATCTCTCGTAATGTCAACGAGTGAGTAGAAGAATGTCCATAGCAGCATAAATATTGGTGTAACACAGAATATTGTAGTCACAAATGCAAAGAATGACAGAAGAATTCCACTTAGACATATCAATTCTATGGCTGGATAAGTCGCAATGCTAGCTAATTTCAAAATTCTTATCCAATTTGGTCGATCGATAAATGACATCAATTTGTCATGAAAGAACTTCCCACGAATCGGTTCCACTTGAGCCGGCAAAATACCGTCGACATGACTGAATAAGCCTAAAGAAAAGAAATGATAACGATTTATATTAAGATAAATGATGCAATTGTTTGATTGCCCTAATTTACATAAATGTAAGTGAAGGAACTGTACCTTCAGATTGGACATAAAAGCTTAAAAATGCACATAAATAAATTGCTGCAAAACATCGTAGAATTAGATTCCTAGTTACGATAACGTTTGATAATATCGACATTTTTTCTGTGTCACTCATAGTTTTAGCTGCTCTACTAAACACGCTATAATTAATTAATTATTTATCAATGCACAAAACACACACAATTTTAATCAGACAACAATCAAAGTTTATATTAATCCTTGAATTTTACACTTATCACAACTTTAATTCCATTATTTCCTTTCTTCTATGTTCAGTCTTGTCATCCAACCTTACTCAACAAATTATAATATGCAATTAAATTAAGTTTTCAGCGATTCTGTGATTTTAAAGGTTTTTTTACGGCCGGAAAAAAAACAGGAGGTTCTCAATTTCTATAACATCGAATCAGATGTCTCTGCCTGCATACTAACAACATTTTATCAATGAAATTGCTCGCAGCTTTATATCCAAATGATTCAAAATGACGTCGACAGTTATATCCATTTTACCAGTAGCAAATTTTATTTAATAGCTCAATAAAGTTTAATAGTAGCACAAATAATTGACATAAAAAGTATTATAAATATTTTCTCAAACGGGTACGAGGCTTTTCAGCTGTGATGTCGATTTCTGGAGCCTTTTTTGCAGCTCTCGTTGACTTTGCAGGCACACTTGCCACTTTCTTCGGTGGTTTAGTCCTTGCTTCTTTATCACTGTCATCCGAATCAATATAAATGACTGAATCTACTAATTTGGTTTTGCTGCTTGCTGTCTTTTGAGTTTTTTTCGATGGTTCCGATTGTGGTGACTTTTTCCTTTCGACAGTAAGTTTTGGATTTTTAACTGTCAGCATAACGCTAGTCGATGATTTTGGGGTCTTTATTTTAAGAAAATCTTCAAATTTTAATGGCTTTTCCTTAACTTCCACAAAAAATGTCTTTCCGTTTTGCAAGAGAAACTCCAAGTTTTGCATTCGAGCATGAAGTGCCTGTTTAATGCACTCATAATCCTCAATATTACTCGTACATAGCAATTCAACTTCTGTGAGTATTTCCTCAATCCTTGAATAATCTTTGGTCATAACGAAGCTATCAACAACTTGAAATAGCCAACGAATTGAGAATGTGATGAATTCCTTTTTATTTATATTGAAAACTCCAGTTTCTTTGGTACGTAATATTTTAACACTGCAGTATCTCCACGGTCCAAGAGCATAATCATTGAAGCTCTTACTAATATCAAACTTATTCATCAAAAAAAGCAATCTTGAGTAATGACATCCCATTTGAAACAGCATAAACTTAAGATGTGGATATTCACAGATCATGCATTTGCAAGAATAATCGTGTACAAAGTTCCTGAGTTGTTCAATCAAGTTCCTAGAGTTGTCAAATGAATCGTCGAAGATTTCCTTAATAAAGAATAATTTGTTAAAATTTTTGAAAAATTTAATGGCTTTCTGAATTTTGAATTCTGTAAATTTGATAGAAATTCAAACTATTTACATCAGTTAAGAATTTAATTAAATACTTACAATCCTTGATTTGCGATCTGATGGCTTTGGAATGGCTTTTCGGACAGTAATTTCATTGTTTTGCACTTCAACAACATGACTAGTAGGTTTCGATGATATTGGAGTCTCAATCAGTATATCATCTTCTAGTTCTAGCATAGTTGACATCTTCTTTAAGTCAGTCTGTAAAATAAAGTTTAATTTTTACTAAATTTCCAATAATTCTTCAATATTAAAAGATCTTACCTTAGCGTCATCAAGCTTTTCCATATTCAAATATCTCATAACAGACAACGAGAGGAAATCCAAAGTTTTAACAAACAATCCTTTTTGAACAGCCTGAATTTTAAGTTGCATCATAGTGCTTGCATAATGATCAACATCAATCATGCGATTAATTGAGTAATTGATGGCTTTAATGATGATATTTCGGTACAGGAATTGATAATTGTTTGAATAATCAGCATAAAGTGTGTTTATACTTTGGAGATTCTTCATTGCCTTATACATGTGATCTGCTGCATTTTTCTTAAAGCATTTAAGGCTTATATCCACAATTCCCATATGCTTTTTAGCCTCAATTGTACAAATATAAAGTGGTGCTTGGAGATTGCTAATTTGTCGAGTTTCCTGAAATTTCTGCCAGATTTTAAGACTGTCAGCTTTACGTCCATTAACAGCGTAATGTACCCACAAACTTAGCATGTAATTCATTGGACGAACTTGTTGCCTTTCATGCTTATTTTCGATATCCACTAGTAAAGTCTCGAGAACAGCATTTGCCTTTAAAATCACTTCCTCAGCTCTTATATAATTCAGTCGTTTAGAAAATGTAATGTAATGTCCAGAACTTCCAATCATTCTATCCAAATTGTCTAAGAAAAATGCCGCCGTGTCTATAATCAAATCTAAATGATTGTCCTTGTCATATTGAAGTAAGTTCCATAAAACTAATTTTGTCTCTAAATCCTTATTGGCAATTCCTCTAACAAAGTATTGAGTCGAGACATTCTCAAGGATTGTTGTGAACAGCCTCAAAGATGGAATCTTTTCTAGTTCCTTTGGATTATCTTTAATCATAAATAGCACGTCCATTGTATAGTCTAAAAAGTTGTCCAACTGCTTCAAGATCTTTACCTCACTTTCTAATGTTAAGCACTTAGGATGAGCATCTTTTGATGTCTTTATTTCATCTGCTATCTTCGTTTCCATGTTTTCAGCCTCAATGCAATACAGGTAATAGTTGTTTAATGCTAATGCAATTGAAACTTGAATATTGTCGCTTTTGTACTTTTCAAGTCGCTCATTTAAGTCTTTAAATTTCTTCAAGTCAATGGTCTTCAAAACTCGGTCATTGACTGATAAGCACGCACGTCCAAAATATTCCAAATTGTCAGTTTTCTCGCAAATTACTTTAAAAAGCTCAGAAATGCCTTCGATATTTTGTGAATTAAAACGAGAAAGTGCTTTTAGTTCCAACAGTGTAATTTCATCAATATGGGCATCTACATCTGAACTATTCAAGTTCTTCCTGAAATAATCCACAGCACTTGTATACTTAATTTTAAGCACAGTTGAACGTACATTAGAAAGTAATTTTGGTAACTTTTGTATGTAGTTTTCATCCTTAGTATTCAGTGAATGAATTATTGGATATGTGAGGATTTCTGCATAGGTTTTAGCATTATTTTCAGTCTCATCAAAACTTATATTATTCATGCATATTCCTAAGCTGATCATATGCTTTGGAATCTTTTCATCGCCTGACGATTCTACTAAACTTATCATTATTTTATAGATTTTAGCAAACTTACTCAAATCAGTGTAAAGCATGTCCTTATTGTCATTATATAAACATGCTAATATTTCATATAACGTAATTTGAAGATTTTTGCACATTGTCTGTTTTGATGGGCACTTAATGTCATTATAAATTTTTAAGGCATAATCCACGTAATACATTAGAATTTTCTCGATTTCCTTAGTGAATATTTTGTCATCCAGTGCCTTGTTGATGTATATTATCATTTCAATTGAGAGCTCAAAAATAGAGTGTCGTCTTGTGTCTGCGCAGCACATTTTGTCATCTTGTTTCTTAATATATTTAACCAAATTAAACAGTGAAAATACAAAATCATGACAAGCCTTAATGCATTTAGCAGACTTCTCGAAATGACCTGTAAGGTTCAGAAAATGTCTTCTTATTATCTCAATTACTTTATGCTGGATGACATTGTCTGTTGAAGATGTAGCATCTTTAAAGTATGATTGAAAGACATCCTTTATTGCCTTTTCAGTAATTGTAGAGTATGGGAGATTTGACAGACTTTTATGTAGAGCTTTATTAAGGACTTTGTGTTCCTTATCGTCTAGCAGCTTGTGATATTCAGCAATGATTTTACAACAAACTGTTAGCATGTCAGGATTTTTACTGTACATAATGGTTGCGATTAAGTTTGTGTATTCCAAAAAAGCTTCGTTACTCTTAATTTTCATGTTGGAAGTCTTTAGTTCCTGATAAAAAGAGTTTTGTAAAAAGTCAATTGACATTGTCCATGATTTTGTTTTTCTGTAATAATTATAGACAATTTGAGACAGCAATTGAAGGATCTTGACATGTGTCTCGTTAGAATCTAGCTTAATTAACTGTCGAGCATTTTGGTTAATTATATCCACAGAAGTCTTGTCATTAAATATCTTTGTAAAGTTCAAACATTTTTGAATGAAGCCAAAATGTAGGTCCAGCATATTCTCTTCTGTTTCGGATGTCACTTTGAATAGAGCTAATGATTCTTTAATGAAAAAGTCTGGAGTTGTCTGTAAGTTGAAAATGTAAGTTAATTTTAGATGAATTTTAATAATTTAACAAAATCTTACCTCATTTAGACTGAGAAAGTAGTTGTAGAAGACAACAGCCACATTCCTCTTTACTTTTTTGAAGTCATTATTGTTTAACATAAAATCCAGCACTTCAAAAACCTTTTTCACTTTAGTTGCTTCCAAATTTGGATTGTCCTTAATCAATTCAATTAATAGTAAGAATGTGTGATATTGAAGGAAAGACGAGTCTTTTACTTTGATCTTTTGGATCAATTCCTTTACACAGGCATCAATCGAGTCATTAGAAATGATTTCCTTACAAATTTTCTTAATTGGTGCCAAAATTTTCGCTGTTCTTTCATCCATTTTGAAGAGAACTCTTCTCAAACTAGTTCCTATTTATAAAGTCTTTTCAATTGAAGTATGTCTTGTATTTTATTCCTTCTAGTTTATTTAAATTTTATAAAATTTCGATAAATTCACTATTTTAATGTTTACTAAATCTCAACGGTTTTTTCGATTGAATATAATCACAGACGTCGTATTAAAATTCAAATTCCTTAATTTAAGAATGTTGAATGTGTTGTCTTGGTGAATTAAACTGTACTGAATAATTGTTGGATAAGTTAATTTATTAATTTGCGTGAATCTCAATGCACAACAAGTTTCAAATGTTTTTATTTCGAAACCTTTTTCAGGATGTCTGTGAAAAAAATATGGGTACGAAACTTTTAAAAATTTGAAAATTTCTGTAACGGTTTTTTGAGAATTTCTTGATAATCATAAATTGAGAACTCAAACCTCTTAATTTTTATTAATAATAGCTCAAGTAACTTAATATCTAGTAATTTGAACACCAAAAACAAGCTTTCTGAGTTAAATTTACGATTATTTATTACATCTAGGGTTTTTGAAAAGCTAGTCACCCAAAAGTGTTTATAAAATTTTCATATTTTAAATAATAAGTTAATTTTAGCAATTAAAATGGATTTATTAGGTGATATATTATCATCTATGGATAAAAACAAACGTCCTGGACTCAGCAAGCCAGATAAGATGATTCAAAGTATGTATTTAATCTAGAAATGTTCTAATTCTGCATTTTATTACCAATTATTTATTAAATTTTCAATATTCTAGAACACAATGAAGAGATTCGTAAAACAGCTGAAAAGGAACGAATGATGATTAATAATTACAAATTAAAGATCCAGAATAAAGTTGCAGACTTTTTAAAGAATGACAAAGTATCAACCATGCAGTTCCCAAATATGGACAAAATTTTCAGATCTGTAATATTGGAGGCATGTGAGGAAGCAGCGAATGGCCTTATATGTCATACATTTGGTCGAGAAGAGCGGTATGTCATTGTTTACAAAAACCCACCTAATGATTTGGAATTAGAAGCAAGAAGATATTTCGATTATAATCAATGGAACAAAGAGATTGAAGCTGAGTTTAAGAAAAAGAAGGAAGAACAAGTTCTTTTAGCCACCGAATGCTCAACATCATCACAAGAAGTACAAGAGACATCGAAAGGAAATAACAAAAAGACAAAGTTAATTCATTTAGAATGTGAAGCAATAAGTTCAAATCCAAATCGAAATTTTGGAATGGTATCAAGCGATTTAAAGAAGGACAAGAGAACTGTCGAGGAAACTTTAAATGATCTCCAGCAGAAGAAACGATTAAAGACCCAGCAAACGAATCCAAATTAGTTTTCAATTTAATTACATTACAATTAAATTAATGCAACCAAAGCTTTATAGACAAAAAAATGAAGATTTACAAGAGAAATTAATGGTAAATATTAATTTATTTAATAAATTTGAAAAATTTGTATTAGGTACGGTACCTGTTCATTACATGTCACAATTGTTTTTATCTTGAATCATGCGAGAATCATGTAAACATGATGCATGTTATTGACGTATTTTAATCATGTGTGTCACATGAGTCAATGTTCAGCAGATTATTTGTTTATCATACATGATATGTGCGCATATTCTATACAAAAACATAATTAATTTTTAAAGAAACTTGATACCTACAAACTGTTTAGTATGAGAAAAGACGAAAAAAGCTTTTTTTTTGTAAATTAGAAACTTTTATTAGATAGATTTCTTCCTTCTCTCACAATATATACTGTTAAACTTTTATTTCTTGTCTGTTTCAATAAAAATAATGTCTTAGAGTGAGAACTTTCTCATCCACAATACTCAACAAATTTTCTACTCTCGGTTTCTCATAAAAATTATTATGTTTTTTTCTTCGTTAATAAAGTTAAATAGAAAATAATAATCAAGGTCCCACCATACTAAGTTTCACTTGTAAAATTGTTAACTTTGATCTAAGTTGTCAACATATAAGTAAGCGATCTCGCTAGACATTCGTTAAGTGCTACTTAAACTATGCTTAACGACACACTAGTGTGTCGCGAAATGCATGTCGATTGCATTTAACACTTGAAAAGTTGTTTTATGTGTCGCTACGTGCTTGAATGCATCACACAATATTTTAATTGAAAAATTATTGAGCTGCAACTCAAATCAAAGGCAGCAATTTTACAGTAAACATCAAGTTTGGTAGGACCTTAATGATGATAAAAAATAAAAAAAAAAGATAAAATTAGAAGAATTAATACATTGAAAATGATAGGCTTTGGTAATTAATGTAAATATTATGTGAATAATAATATGTGTGTGTGTGTGTGTGTGTGTGTGTGTGTGTTTTGTCTATGAATCTTGAATGTATATTAGCTATACTGTATTTTTTTATCATAATCCTTCCTGCTTTGTTTCTATTGATTTGCTTTTTCTTAAATGGATATTAATCTATGATTAAGAATCGAAGAAAAAAAAAGTAATATTGCCACTATTCCAAAAACAACAAAATGCCACAAAATTAATTTTCACTGTTTTTTTAAGTTCACATTCCGTTTGCTGGTCCCACAGCTTTTGATGGATATGATTTGTTCACGTTGAGGAATTGTTTTGGAGCAGGAAACTCTGATACTGAATGAAATAGTAGCGAGTACCTTGCTTCTAGATCCACAACAAGTCTTGTTACTGGCTTCTGATTGGGATTAGGACTTGGAAATCTATTATTATTTGCACCATTATCTATACTAGTTCTCATCGACGAGTGTCTTCTTGGCACTTCTGGGGGAACTTGACTATTTAAAACTTGTTGTTGCTGTTGAAGCTGAAGCTGTTGTTGACTCCTTTGAAGCGCTTTTTGAGCAGAACTAATACGATGTGGCGGTAAAGGTGGAGCTGCAGTAGAATCAATCACGTCTACATTTCTCTCCAAATTACTTATATTACTTGATGATCCAGAATTTGGCATTCGTCTCGTTGGCGGTGCACTCAAATTCGTATCACTCTGTGTATTATTCAGTGCTGTGGTCGATTTCGCATGCGACTGTGTCGATAAGTTTGTTCCAATATTACGATTAGGTACTGGTGGAGGGGGTGGCTTAATTGTTGGCCTTTGAGCAACTGACTTTTGCGTAATCTGCAAATTTAAAGCTTCTTGAGTCTTATTGTGACTGCTCGGATTCCGAATTGTCCCAAAATGATTATCTGAATTGAATGGTCCAGTTGTTGATGCTAAAGTGATTGGCGGTGATCTAAAAAATTAAAATTATTGTTATTATTAAATTGCGTAAATGAGAAGCATGATTAGGGCACAAAGCACATGAAACATAGATTGAGAGTAGCAAAAATTAGCACACATATAGCATAATACCTTGGTGATTTCATAGATTGATGACGAGCAACACTTTTCCGGCTACCATCATTTAAGCTATTATTACTGATATTACCATTATTATTATTATTATTATTCATGGGCAAACTCAGCTGAGGTGGTGGTTTGGGAGCTAAGTTGGGCTTTCCATGATTAATTTTTGGAGCACTGGATTGACTTTTACTTTCAAAACTATTTCTACTATTGATATTATTAACATTATTATTATTACTGTTGAAACTATGATTAAATAATGATGATTTATTGGGGATTGCATCGCTTACAGTGTGCGGAGGAGAAGTAGTAGTAGAAGACTGATGTTGCGGACTAATTACACTACAGAGACATGATTGTAGAGTCATCAAAAGATATAAAAAATTTAAACACAAAAAAATAAATATAAAATAAAGGGAGAATGAGTTACGATGATGCATAAATGCACGAATTAGACAAAATAAGTACACAATGTAAGGCACAATAACTTACCTCTGCTTTGATTTAATTTCATCAACAAACGATTTCGACGAAGATGTTGTTGAAGGCGGTGAACTCTAAACAAATGAATGAATGAATGAATGAAGGAACAAATTAAAATAACAAATCTATTATTAGAATAATATCATGATAGGAAATGGAGAGAGACCAACTGCTTGATGAATTTAGTTTCTCATCACGTTGGTCTCTGACTGACTGACAATGAATCGTACCTCTTTTGTCTCAACAATGCCTTTCGATTCCTTAAGTGGTGAATTTTTATTCTTCTTTAATGTTAATTTATATTGAAGTTCATCCGTTAAATTCGAAAATCCACCCTGTCTAATTGGCGAAGACGTCGATGAGTCTGGCGATGTTTTTGCTGATCCTTGCGATCTCGTTGGAGAGCTTTGCGATGGTCCTTTTACTACGGGTGATGTATTTGGACCAGCAATACGACCAGCTTTCGGTTTACTTTTGTCTACTGTAGTTACTTTCTTTAATTGTGCTCCTTTTTGAATTTGGCTCAATAGGGCACCTCTCATATCAGCTCCTCCAGAACTCCCTCCTAGTTTTTTGACATTATTAAAATTAGCCATAGGTGGGGGAGGAGGACCCATCATTGGGGGTGGGGGAGGTGGTGGGCCAGACATTCTATTATAGGCACAAAAAATAGAAAAAATATTTTTATCTATATCTGTTTATGATTCACAAAAAAAATATTTGTGATAAAGAACTGATATCTCGCAGTGAAAAATCATAATTGCGATTCATGTTCATAAATTGTACTCACTTGTTTTAATGATTATTGCTCAAAAGGAATACACACAGACGAAAACAAGGTAACTTAAGGAAATTCAATGTCGAATTATTTGCATGCAAATTATCACTTTTCTTTTTTTTTTATTTAAAACACAAAAAAATAATTTTTAAAAAAACTTGTAAGTTCTCATGTTTAAACTTAACTAAAACCTTAGATCACTTATGGCTTCGTCTAAAAACTTGAAGAATATTTACAAATACTGAATATATCTGGCGATGTAAGTGACTATTTTCCAAAATAATCACCCAGATTAAACATTTTCTATTTTCTAATGAATGAATCACCTGAACAACACACCACTGACTACAGATTCATTTGGCACAAATACGAATTATGTGGGATCTAGAGAAGGATTTAATTAAGTATGAATGGAGTCTTGAAAGTTGGTCGAATCTTTTCAATTTCTACCTGCAATAGATGTAAAATTAATAACATTTAACGGACTCAAATTAATCTTGTGTGCGAGTACCTAATTTATTAAGTTATAGATGAACTCAAACGCATCCTTTTGGTTATATGTTTAAATCTCAAGACTATTTGAAATTTAAGTTTTAAATTTTCAATTTTAAAATTTAAATCTTAAATTTAAAATCTAAATTTGAATTTTAAGAATTCAAAAAAGATTAATTTCAATAATTTATTAATTCTCAAATAGACATTTATTTAACAAGCATCCAAAATGACTTAACAAAAGTCAATAGCTAGCAGAAACAGGCTAAATGATAATAACTTAATTTTTTCTTGGACATTCTTATGCAGCCGCAGCATGAATTTTAAATTCAACTTTTACCGCTAAGATAATTGGATAGCATCAATTTGTAAATTATTAATTGATAGAACATTCAAATTAAGGAACTATGCCTTTCGAAAGACAATCCTATGATAATCTCAATAATGGTAGAATTCAACATGGACAGTACTTAAATAAATTGGGAGAATTTATAACTTAATTGTGAAACGTGACTAACAGTGAGAAAATATTCAATACGCACAGCCATAGTTTATATGTTATGCAGAGTAGTATTGATGAAAACTGATGAGATTTTCGTAAATTTCCTATAAGATCCAAATTATTGGAAAAAATCTAATTCATAAAAATGAAATGTTTTGAAAATTTGACTTGTTTTTGCACAATTTATTGACAAATGAAATAACAAAAAGACTTTTGACATTTGACTTGATATCAAATGAGCTCTTCTCGCGATTTAACCACCCCCTATAAAAATGAAAAAATAAAAATGTCTGAAATTGAATAAAATTTTAAAGAAATAAATATTATTATGGATAACAGTAAAAATTTGATGAACAATGATAAAAGTCTTTGTTTGTATTGTGATAAAGCGTTTTCAAATATTAATGACCAAGGAAATCATGTAGAACGTGATCATAAAACAGTTTTAAATAAGAGCAAAGGGAGTTTAAGAAAAAGTGAACGAATAACAAAAAATTTGTGCTCGGAAAATTCTCCTTTTGCAGCATGTTTCTATTGCAATAATAAAAAACTTATCAAAAGTGATGATCTTGAATCATTGTTTCAACATCTCTTAGCAGCACATAAGGATATTTATTTTGGGTGTAAATGTAAAACGCGATTATTTGACAAAGTTTCACTGGCGAACCATAAGAAAAATTGCGAGTTAGGTGGTAGTGGTAGTAAGATATCCGATGAAAAAATCAGTGAAAAAAGAAAATCTCTAAAAACATCACCGTCTAAAGGAAATATTGATTTAAAATGTGATACATTGTCGGATTCGTCAGTCATAAATGCAAATAATATTTCTACTGCTGCTACTGCTTCTTCATCAAATCATAGTGTTAAGACACTGCCTACAAATGCCATTACAAAAAAGTCTGATAGAAGTAACGTGAAAAATTCTAATAACAAGAATGTTATAAACTCCAATGAGAAGCGTAATAATAATAATAATAAAAAGAGTAAAATATCAAATATTAGTAGTAGCAGCAGTACAACAAGCAGCAGCAGTAGTAGTAAAACAGTTGATGAATATACCATTCCTCTAACGCGACAAAAATTAAAAGAGCCTGTTCATTCCAACAAGCAAAGTTCTTCTTTTTCTTCTCAAAATCGCTCATCGAGCAATAAGAAAAATCAACAGAAAAATAGCCGATCTTCTTCATCCGCGAATGAAAATAAAAATGCATCCTCTCTGCATGCATCGTCATCGTCATCATCATCATCAGCCACTAAAGTTCAACGGACAAAAACTACAAAACTTATCAGTCATAATTCACAAAATAATTTTGAGTTGGTTGAGAATACGCAAAAGATTGATACGTTAAGTACGGAATTCGATGAGGATTTCTATAAAAATATTAGCTGTAATGTACGAGTGAATCTGAATGGTTTTATTGATGGAAAAGTTAATCAATTGCAACTTAAAAGACCAGCATTTGATCGCATATCAGCAAAAGTGAATGCAGACGAAAACGAGGCAAATGAAGTTCCAAATCATGACGAGAAGGAAATTCATGAAGCCACAAATTTTGAATTATCCACACCCTTCCCTGCATTATTAACCGCTGAGCAATATGGATTTAGCGATTTAAATACGAAAGGTCGAAGGCAAATTACGAAAAATTCTTGGAAGTGGCGATGGGATCTAATCAAAAAATATAAATACGTAAATGAAGGTGGCAAAATAGTTAAAAAAGTAAAACAAATTACAACTGGATTAAAAGATCTGTCACAATTAGATATGTGGACGCAATTGAGCATGCGATCACGTTATGAAAATTTAAACATTCAGAACGGTGCAACAGATTTTGATGATGGCTTGAATGACAGTTTATCCACTCGAATGATGAAAACTCAAAACATTGAGCAATTAGATACCATACTAGATACACGATTGATGCCGGAAATCAACATAGAGCAATTGCAGCAAACACTGGTCAAAGAGGAGCTAATTGAGCCTAACGAGGATGAAAATGAGTTTGAAGAGGAAAAAGTTAACAAGGAAGAAGAAGAAATACTCAAAACTTTAAGGCTAAAAAAATTAGACACCACAAAACCTACAAATCCCGCACTTAGTGGTGAATGGGCTCGACCTCGACGTTTTGTTTGTATAGATTGTGGTCAAGAATTTGATCTGATGAAAAGTTTAAATGATCACAAAAATTCTGAACACCCGTATGTTGTATCAGCACATTACGAAGTAGTCGGCCGTGAAAATCTCGAACAAAAGCTCTATAAGAATTTATTTCTTCCTAAAAAAGCTCTACAAGCAAAAGGAAATGCAGATGCAAAATTATTATCAATCACAAGTGATAGCAAATCAAATGAAGCTTCAAGCTCATCTGAAAATAGTTCTAATAATTATCTAACTGACCAGAAGGAAAGGGAATGCTCGAAATGCATGAAAACAATCAAGTATTCCAATGATATGGACATCTATCGACATATATTAGACTGTATTGAAGATCGTGTGTGGATGCAAGCAAAAAGAAGAAACAAATATAGAAGATCTCGTAGAAAAACTAAGAAAACTGTAAAGAAAACAAGACTTTCCAATGACCAAAAAAAGATTACATCTAGTCCGTTTCGTAAAGAAAATATTGAAGGTATACACAACTAATTTTAATTTTTTATGTTTCCCTAATTGTTTTTTTTTTAAATTTTAGGAGATACTTCATTATCTAATCCTCCAACGCCAAAAGAAGAAATAAAGCCAATAAGTAATCCAGTTAAAGGAAAAGCTGAAGTATATGTTAATGATGGGAAATCAAATAATGATGGAATGAATATCAAAAGCTTCTTTCGAGTCAGTAAAACTACACCTAATCTGCCACAAAAAATCGTTGTTCAAATGATTGAAATGCACCAAAATAATACTCATAACAATAATTCTCTTCGGAACTCTCTACGATCTTCGGCTAAGAAACTTTCAAACAATCCTCTAAACAGCCCCAAACATGCGGCTAATGGTTCTGAAGAAATAGACAAGTTAAATGAAAGCAATGCATTAAATTCAAATGAAATTGATTCTCCTCAATTAAATGTGGAGACAATATCAGAGGAAGCAAAAAATGAGACAGAAAACACCAAAATAAATATTAAAAACATAAGTAGCAACTCAACACAAATAATCAACACTAATAAGAACAATATTCCACCTGCCTTGACAGCATTACAAATTCCAGATTCTGATAAGATGAAGTCATTAAGTAGTCCAACTAATTCTTCGTCATCATCATTAGTCAGTCCAACCTCCTCAGTGCCTAAAAAGAAGAAGAAACTCAATGATTGCATAGCCATGTTAACGTGTAAAATTCAAGAAAAATTAGGAGTCAACTTTTTTGAAAATACAGCAGTTGAAATATTTCCAACAGAAGTTGCTGTTAAAAAGCAAGACGAGAATAATCACATTGCATCCAAATGTACACCAATACCTAAGCCTTTAACACACATTGCAACTTTTACTCCTTTACCAACCATAAATGTTAAAATTCCTGATGTGCCACAAACAACATTTACTGCTCCCGAGCAAGTTGAAGTGATTGATTTGAGTATCAAAAAGAAACCACATGAAGAAGATCAAATTGAACTAGAAATTCCATGTCATATAATTGATAAATCAAATATTCAATCATGTTATAGTGAACATTTTAAAGAAAAAGAAATTTCCAACATTGTTCCTAAAAAGGTTGATGCAAAATCCAGAAGAAAAGTAGTAAAACAAATCGAAGATCCACCAAAAGATGTTGAAAAGTGTATTCAAAAAGATGATAGTATTGAAAAATCAATTGTACAGCCTGATGCATGTATAAAGGAAAATGAGAATAAGGAACTAAATGATCAAGAAAACTCAATTTCAGAACAACTTAAAACTCATAATATCACAGAATCTTTTAAAATTAGCATCTCAAAAGATAGAATTCCAAATTTAAAAGAAATTCTTGAAAACAATAGTGTCATCACAGTCAATAACTTAAAAATATCAGAATCTGAAAGAAGAGCTTTTGAAGAGCAGAAGAACCGAATCATGCAAATTTTAAATAAAACGAAAAAGACAACAGGAAGAGCCGTTGCCAAAAAAGCTGTTCAAAAGAAACAACCAGTAAAGAAAAACTTAAAGCAGCAACAACAAGTTAAAGATACAGTACAAAAAGAAAAAGAAGTGGAAATCGAGTCACCTCAACTTCCAGAGCCTATTATTGGTGATGAGAAGAATCAGAAGTCTAAACAAGAATCTAAGGCAGAAGAATCAAAACCAAAGGAACCTGAAAAACAAAAAGAATCAATTGAAAATAAGATAGAAGTTGAGGCTCCTGTCATTGAAATAATTGAACCATCAGAATTGATAGTTGAACAACCAAAATCAAAAGAGTTGAAGCAATCTAAAGTAAAGGAACAATCTTCAACCAAAATTAAGGATCAGCCACGGAAAGCTAAAGATCAATTACCAAAACCTAAAGAACATACTTTCCCGAAAACTAAAGAACTACCACCGACAAAAGTTATGTATAAATTTCCAACTGACTCTCCAGAACGGGAGCTCGAAGAAATGCCAAAGGATGAAAAGAAATCTCCAGAAAGCGCAATTGAAACTAATATTCAGACAAAAATTGAACAAGCTATTAAGACCACCAATCGAATACGTTGCAGGAGACTTTCTGTTGTTGTTGATCCAATAATTCACTTATCACCATTCCAGCAAAGTAATCGAAAAATAAGGCTAACAAATAACTCCCAACAAAATGGATTATACGACTTGCTTACAAATGATCAACTTTTCAATGCAATCAAACCTCAATTAAAGGATGAGATTAAGAAAACATGCGCAAAAGTTGCAAACAAAGCTTCTAATAAAAATATACAAAATGCAATAAATGAGGTTCGAGCTAAAGCAGCAAAAGAGTTGGCCAAACAAGAATCTATGATTGTTTCAGCACCTAAAAGTATCAAATCTAAAGCAAATACCAAAGCTAGAAGGAAGACTTTCTCACAACGATCAAGATCTAAGAAAAAAGCTAATGCAAAAAATAAAGCAACTATTAAGAACCAACCAGAGAAAAAGATTGAAATAGTTGGTGAAAGTAATATTAAGCAGACACCAACTAAAGTCGTAAAAGAGTCATCTCAAAAGAAGCAACCACTTAAGCCTGTAAAAACTCCATTAGTTGAGCTCAAACCTACAAAAGCTATAATTTTAGAAGCCAAGTCTATGGATGATTCAGTTGTAGAACTTAAGCCTTTGCAAGATCCAATTAAGGAAATTGAGCCTGTAGTTGAACTACCGAAAGTAACAGAACCTATATCACTACCAAACCAAGATATTGTAGAAAATGAAAAACCATCAAAAGCTACTACAAAATCAAAGGCTTCCAAAAATGGTGCAAAAACAAGAAATATGAAAGACAATTTTGATGAAAACATAAAGGATGAAAACTCAATTAATGGAAAAGAAGGTCCAATAATTCCATTAAATGAACAAGATATCAATTTAACAGAAACGAATGATAAGCCTGAAGAAAAGCTCTCACTAGACGCCTCATTTTTGTCAGATACCAGCAATGAAAATGACATTCCATTAGCTAAACTTGTTGAAATCAGCAAGAATAAAAATGTGAAAGAAAAAGAAATTGAAAGTTTTCCGCTCAATGATGCAGATAATACTTCTGATGAGCCACTGATCAAGTCTAGCAATAAGAAAAAAGCACCACATAAAAAGACAACACTTAGAAAAGCACCAAAATCTAAAGCACAAAATAAGTCACATTCAAAATCAAAACAAAGTAAAGTCATAAAAATACAAGATGATGTTGAAGCTTCAATAAGTGAAGAAAACGATGAAGACGTCGCGTTCAAGGCTGAAGATGTGATGCAAGAAGAAAAAGTGCATATTCTAAATCAAGAAGAACAGATCATGCATAAAAAAGTAGATCAAATTGAAGAAAAGATAAAAATAGAAACAGAAAAGCCCAAAAAATCAACAGAAAACAAAATCGAAAAAGTCAAATCTTCAGATATAAATAACACAAAATCTAAAATCGAGAAAGAAAATGTAGATAAATTGGAAGTTTTCAACATGAATGAGGACTCGTTCTTCAATGACGACAATGATGCGGATGAAAAAATTAATGATCTAGTAAATAACATTATCAACAGTTCTGAATTAGTAGATTCCGAAACAGAAAAGAGTGAGAATCTTAAACAAAACATCAATGAAAATCAAACTGAAACAAAATGCACGGTTTGCAACAGGAGCTTTAGAAATGAAAAAGTTTTAGAAAAGCATAATAAAACAACAACCCATCTATTCAAAGTTAAACGCAGAGAAAAGAGAATTGCTGAACAACGAGAGAAGGAAGCTAAGAAAGAAATTAAATCTAATGAAATTGAAATGGATGTTCAAAAACCTAATGAGACTCAAACCAATGCATCGTCATCAGATGAAACTAAAATATTTAGAACGAAAGGTGCTCTGAAGACATTTGAAAACATTTTAGCGTATCCATCAAATCGTATGTCAGAAACTATCAATTTTGAGCAAACAAAGGAAGTTAAACCAGTTGTGATAACAAATCCTGAAATGAAGACAAATCCACCACAAAATTCCGACAAAAAAATTGTAAACTTTGAGAATGATGATGACGACTCTAAAAACGAAGATCTCTCACGAAAGGATAAAATATTTGATAGTCTATTTTCAAGTATAGAGAATAAGTTACAAGCAGCTGCTGCTGCTGCCGCGAATAATTCTGTGAGTCAAGCACCGCTACAGAAATTTCCTTTTCCTGATTTTAATGACACACCGCATGATTCTGAAGTAGAATCATCAAGCACATCGTGGGATTTAAAACATGATGCTGATATTGAATGGGATGCTGATAATAATGAACCATCTATTGCTAATGCCATAAAGGAGAAATATCCAAAGAAAAATACAGTAAAGATAAACAAATTAAAAGAAACTGCCATCAGCATTCCCACAAAGTCATTGATAATGGGAAAAATATTCAAGAAGCATCGTGATCGAGAAAAGCAAAAAACACCGCAAGCGGATGCACCAAACAACAAACCAGGCATCAAAAATAGTCTGGATGAAATCTTTGATCATTTAAAGAATTCAGCAGAAATTGATGACAAAGTTTTGACATGTCCATCACCAAAAACTTTACTCAAAAGTGCTGGTGGAACATTTTCGCCACATTCATCGCATTCTAACGATATGCTCGAGACTGCATCACAATCAAATAACAATAATACTGGTAGTAATAATAATAGCAGTAACAACATAAACAATAATTTATATTCAAACAAAAAGCCTCTATTTCCATCAGCTTCAAATAAACCTGCAAATTCAAATGACAAGAAAACTAAAATTAATGTCAAGAGTGACGAATTGCCTAAAAACAACAATAATAACAATATCAACATCATAAATGAAGAAGAAGAAGAAGATGGAATTGGCAAAAGAAAATCCCGAAGGCGTTGTGCAATTAAGACAAAAACATTTGCTGAAACTTGGAGTTCTGATGAATATGAAGAATTGCATGATACGAATGATATTATAAGTATTATCAATGAAATTGAGAAACGCGAATCAATTAAGAGAAGAAAAGTATCAAAAAGTGAAAGTCATAATGTAGATAATAATGTTAATAAAAAAAATGCAGAAAATATTGAATCTAAAACAGCATCAGATACCATCAATCATCATGTGAAGCCAAATGCATCAATATTAAAAACAACAAATGAAACTAATATAGTAGATAAGAAATCTACTCAACAAAATGAAAAGAATGAGAAGAAAAAGTCTGTACAACTGCAATTTCCTACCAGTGATGTATTTAGCAAAGAGAAACCAGTTAATACAGTACGTAAACGAAGAATGAGTACATTAAAAGACGGTCATAAGTCAGATGAGGAAACATTTACAGCTACAAAAGATCTAAAACCATTAAAACCTTCAATTTCTATGATGAAAAAACGTCGAATGAGTTGTTTTGTACCGTCGTCAATATTTAACGATAATCCAAAACCGCAAGTAAATAATAGAGCATTAAAAAATAGTACGACCGAAGTGATAAGTAAAGCAAAAGTCGATCATAAAACCATTGACCACAAGGAAATTTTGAGTGATGCAAGTGAAAAGTGTGGAAAGAATCAAAAGAAAATTTTAAGTGCTGTGTGCAATAATAGTAACTCAACCACAATAATAACAGCGATAGCATCATCAGTGATAACGGCTGCAGCAAAGAAAAAAGTTCAAAAGCATCGAAAACGGCCTCGAAATAAAGTTAAAAATATAGCTTATGATTCTGACAGCGATTTTGAGTTGAACTTAAGTAGAAAATCAAAAGCTTCAGCGTTTAGTGACTCGTATAGCGAGGAGGAAGAGGATGGAGATGAGATATCTCATAATAATAAATCTATTACCACATCACAAAATATTATAACAAAAAGTAGCAATACAAACGAATTGACAATGATAAAAGAGCCAAAGCTCTTGCCAAATGATCTCAATGTTGTAACGACAACTGCACCTGCAAAAGCTGCCATACCAGAAGACATAAATGATCCAATGCAAAGCGCTTGTAATCGAACTAAGAGACATAGTTCTGAAAAACTGTACTATTGGTCATCGTCATCCGATAGTGATGTCGAGCCCGGCGATACAGCTGATGGTGAAAACGAAGAATCACAAGTCCCTCAACAGCCTGAACAGCACGGGTGGATTGTAGGCGATTCACACAAAAAACTCGTCACATTACTAGCGCATGCAAAAATTAAAAACAAAATTAATTAACCTTTTCAGTGTAGATTTGATCATTATGAATTAACGTTTTAGTTAATTATACCACACTTTATGTCCTATAACATATATTCAAACCCTTATTTTAAAATTCTAATCATTGTTCACATAAAACATTAGTGTAGCTGATAATTAATGATATAATTTGTTCGATTAATGTAGAATGAAAATCGTCAAGTATGAAAACACATATTAGTGAAATTGTTTTTTTTTTGGTTTAATATAAAACAAAATCTATTTTAAATAAATAATATCATTAGATTTATAAAAGTGCTAAGTTTTCAAGGAAGATAATTAGTTTACTGGGAGAGAATAAAATAATTGGTTGAGGGTTGACTTGACAAAATAGAGTCAGGGTTCTTGAGAATAAACGAAACCTTAAAAAAATCCATTTAAGGAATCCTATTGAGCTTGCAATTCTTTAAAAGGGGAGGATAAAAAATTAATTTTAGTGTAATTTAAACTATTATTAAATTAATATTGAATTTGATATGTCAAAGATGAATCAATGCCAGGATGAAAATAATGATGACGGTGTTTAGATGAAAATATATAGTTGTAAAAACGAGATGACATTAAATTAATTAACATGTATCCCCTAATATAAATATATATAAATTTTTGAGCAAATAATAATAGAACAATGTAAAATTAATAATATATCGATAGATATTGATAGAAAATTTAACTATAAACACATATGTAGATGTTTTATCAAAATTAATTAACTTTAACAGCAAAAAAGTGAACTTTTTGTTTCGTTTTAGTTCGATTGTCTCTTCCTTTGTCTCATTATTATGGAATTCAAATGCAATACGTGTTCATTTCCAAAGTCATTAATACATTAACTGTTCGCTTGATTTTTTGAAACAATTTTTTTACTCTTGCAAGAATACAAGATTTATGGTGATGTGAATTTTTTATATAGTCATTTTTTATTTTAATTTCGTAATATAACCGTAACTATGAAATATATTTGATTTTTTATTTAGAAATAATAAATGCAGAATTTCTTTATCAAAGGATTCAGATGCAGCTTTATCGTTTTTTGGAAACATTTTCCTTCAAAATATCAGTAAATAAATGTTAAATGTATAATTATAAATACCCCTCAAAAAACATAACAGCAGTGAACATACCACATGAATTACTTGGTTAAAATGAAATAAAGGAGAAATTTTATAAAAAAAAAAATAGTATTTCAATTTTTGTGTTTCTTTCTGGTTACAGCAAAACTCTAGTTTTATTCTGTGTATCAATTTTTTTTTTCACGACCAATAAACAAAAAAAAAATTAACATTTAAATCAATTATTATTTTGAATGCTCCCAATATTATTCAATCTGTCCGGGTACTGTTTAAAATACTAATATCTACATCAACTCTGATAAGGCTTTCTTTGCAGCAGCAATCTTTGCAATCTTTTTATTCTTTCCAAATCCAATAAACAGTTTTTGGGTTCCATCACGTGTCTTAATTTTCACAGGAACAGCAACGTTTTCGTCACCATCAATAACTTTAGGACTGTAGAACTTAGGTTCTGCTTTTCCCCCTTGAAATTCAAATAAGCGACGAACAATTTGAATCGGAACATCTTGCATAAATTTATGGATTTCATGCTGCATCAATTTATAAATGACATCCCAAGTCTTATTCAATGATAAATTCGAATCCAAGAAAACAGCACCAACAATCGATTCGAAGATATCTCCTAATGCTTTTGGAACTTCAATTGACTTAACAATGTTTGTGTCATTTTCTGTAATCATTAATTCAACTTGATCAGTTACTTCATGATTTTTGCTTTCTTGGAAAATTGCAAACTTCTTGATAGCTTCAGACAATACATAGTTTTCATAAAACATATGCGTATGTATGTCATTTCGAACAACAATACATGCTAGAGTTGCATTATTTACCAGTGATGATCTCAAGTCTGTCAATTTTCCTGGATCCATCGTTGGGCAGTTCTCATATATGAACGATGTGATCTAATAGAATCAAAAGTGAAAATATAAGAGGTGAAAAGTATTGGAAAAAATGGCATCCATCATATTAAAATTTCTTACCAAAAAGTCAAGAACAGCGTCACCAAGAAATTCTAATTGCTGATAAGTTCCAGATGCTTTGTTTGGATATGAGGCATGAGTTAAAGCTTGAATCAGATAAATTTCATTCTGAAATCTGTAGCTTATTTTATTCTCTAATGCGTCACGGTTAATTAATGTCAAGTCATTTTCATGAATAATTCGTGGATTGATTTTTTCAGTCAGTAGATTTTGTGTCTCTGGAAAAATTTTCAATTTCTGACACAACTTATATCCTGCATCGATTCCGACACTCGAAACTGTACATCCAAGCAATGCCTCAACACAATCAGCAATAATTTTATCACCAATAACTTTCTGGTCAATGAAACCAATAAACGAGCTGTCGACGTTTTCTACAGCTACCTCATCGTCAACATCTTTTTGGTGAGTTCTGAATAATTCTAAATTTTCTTCATTCATTAAGCCATTTTCAATTTCAGAATTTGATAAGCTTTTAGTCACATCGAGTAAGCATGTCAACAATCTTTTGTCATTTACCAATACCTCTTTAAGATTGGCTGGTAACTTTGTCGATGGAGCAAATGATGATTGAACATCAAATAAAGTTGCATTTAATATTTTTGGTAATCCAAAATCATTTCCGATGTAATAAAGATTTCTGTTGCTAACCATTTTGCCTTTTAATGCTGTTAAATGTCCTTCATGCCAGTTACCATGTGTCTTATAAAGATACAATGACACAATGAATTTGAGAAACCCGTCACCTAGAGCTTCATATCTTTCCATGTCAAATACGTCACCTAATGACAATAAATTGAAGATTATTATTTTATTTTGAATTTTTCGGGTTTTAACTCTTCAAATTCTAAGCGATTATAACTACCTGCTTTTGATGTTGTTATAACTTTGATCAAATCCTTTTGCTGTATACAACTTGAAGATTTGTTCAAATTCAACAATTTTATATCTTTACCGATTTCTTGTTCTTTTAAGGAAGGGAGACTATTGGATGTGGAATCATTTTGAGGTTGACTTTTAAACATCTGTAATGGAATGTCTGTGATTTCCTTTTTTCCACTAATAAAGTTAAAATAATAATCAATTTCAACGTCTGCAATATCTGACCAGTTTCGATCCAAATCAATTGACAAAATTGAACGATCCCAAATCAAGTTAGCTTGTGTCTTAAAATTCTTGCTTTTGTAATTATCCTCTACTTCTCTTTGCTTTAATTTTATCAAAGCATCTTCAAAATCATCCAATTTTTCTAAAGGTTCATGTTCGGCAAACGTCAATGCTTCTTTTTGTTTATCATAATCACCTTTATCAACATCAAGCTTGTAAATCTGTTGGCCATAATTAATATCAATGCCTGCATTAATCAGCCAACGTCTTAGCTCTTCAGCTAGCAGCATATAGTTCATTCGATGGCAAATTGTTGGAAGTAAAGTTGCCTTTAACCAAAAATCTGCTGGAAATTTGAAATTGTGACAAATTTCCGGGATAAACTCTACACATTCATTAGTTTGATCTTTTCTCTTCTCCTTGTCACTCATTCCAGCACCAGGAAATAATAATTTCGGTTTCATACTAATTCCTTTGACCTCAATCAAGAATTGATCATTGCGATGGATGTCTACTTTAAATTTTTTAACATGTTCTGCATATGTTTTTTTGTTGTCATTTGGAAATGTCGACAAAGGAGTCTTATGTTGATTAATGTTTGTTACCACATAGATGTGATCTTTATCTTGATAAACAGGATTAACGACCTTATAAATATAATCTTCAGAATTAAATGACATATTTTCAATTTGAGTTTTTGTCAATAGAGTTGGATTTGGAATCTCTTGAAAATCGTCGATTAGCTTCAAGTCAATTTCATTGTCTTCATTCATAGGAACTAGCAAATACGACGATTTGTCCAATACAAAATAGTTTTGAAAAGTTTTTAACAAATCTCGAAATATGATAATGTGGAATCTTTGCAGTTTTTGTAAAATTTCTTCACTTTCAATGTCTACAGCTGTTGGTAATCCACTAATTTCACACTCAATTTCTCCATAAGATTGAAAAAGTCTAATTATTGGCAGCTTTGGGATACGCTTTTTCGTCAAAATTCCAAAAGTATTTTCATTTGCAAGCAGTTCATAAAATACTTTGAGTGCATTGCTATCATTGTCTTCAAACTTTGGTTTGATGCTGATTTTATACAAATAATTTGTTTCAAGAGTCGGTCCGCAGTTTTTTATTGCTTCAGGAATTTTGATGTCATGTAAACGAAGGTTCTTTTTTGTGCCAGCTTTCTTTGGATTTTCTTTGTCATATTTTTCCCAGTGATCAAAATATTTGAGATTAAATTCCTCAATCTTAATATTGCTATCTACTGGACACAGTTTTTCAGTTAAATTTCCATTCGAATACAACAATTTACAAGCCTTAAAAGCTGCATCTTGTTTTGCAATTTTTACTCTTTTCTGAGGACTACCAATTATTTGATCATTAATCATCGATTGTGTTGGTAATGTCAAATTAACACTAAATGTACCATCAATATTATCATTTCGCGTCCAATAGATACTAGGGCTTGTAAAACGATCACCTGGAAGACTTTGTGTGCATTGATTTAAAGTCGCGATACAATTCAAAGCTGTTAAGCAAGCTCCTTCTTTTGTATAGAATGGATCCCATTCTTGAATTTGTTCCTTTTTAATATCCTCTTCACTTGGTGGCGGTCGATCAATTGTACGTCCAATTAATTGCTTTTTCGTTTCAAAATCTATTTGTTGCCAAACCAAAAACTTTTTGTCGAATTTAGTCTTGCTTTCATTATCCACCATAATCACATAATTACTTTGATCATCTCTAGCTCTTCCACGTGATTGAACATAACTTCGTGGAGTTTCTGGTGGATCAAACATTATCACGAGATTACATGCTCGCAAATCAATTCCTTCTTCTAAAACATTTGTGCACACTATGACATTAGTTTCCTTGTTTTCAAATTTTTCTAATGCTAAGGAATTATTCGATGAACTTAAAATTGACTCAATTGATTCAGGCATAGAATTATTTAGTCCAACCTGTTCATTAAATCAAAGATAAAGTTAAAATTTAAGATTTAAATAGATGTCAGGATTCGAGTACTTACAACAAAATCAGGGTTTATGGGAAAATTCGGATCATCGTGCCCAAAACATTTAATCAGGTGATAAAGAATTTTTGCAGTCGAACGTTTTTTAACAAAAATCAAGCACTGCATGTCTCGATTTGGATCTTCAAAAAACTTTTTTAACAAATGAAGCATTTTTTGAACTTTTGATGATGAATTTTTCATCACTGTAGCTGCATCTTTTGTTTCCAAGTTCACTTCGCGTTTTAGATAGTTAACACAGGACTCAATGTTCGATATGCATGCTTTTACAATCGTACGAAACTTTTCTGTATCAGCAAATCTTTTAGTCAGTTCAAGTTGTACCAAAATGCCTAATAATGCTAGACTATTTGCAAACACAATATTTTAATTGAAGATAATTTAATTTCAAAAATTTACTTACAAGCTTCCATAGCATCCGAGAGCTTTGACCTGACACATATAATCCTCCAGTAAATCAATTAATTTCTGTATTTTTACTGGGACTTCCAATGAACCATTTTTATTTAATTCAATTGGTTCTAAATATGCGCGTAGTTTAAATAGTTGTGCATTAATTACTTTTAAACACTCATTAATCTGCTCTAAATCATAAGCGATGAAATATTCTTTTGATTTAGTTGAATAAAGTAAGACATTCTTTTGGTCGTCGATATTATTAACTGTGATAATGGTGCTTTGGTAGTTACTCTCAAGTTCCTTCAACTCTTCTACAACAGTGTGAGGTTTACATGATTTGCTATTTCCAACTAAAACACCGGTAAGCCCAATTATTCTTAAGTTTATTACAATTTCTCTGTCCTTAAAAGCCTGCGTTATTTGACGATAAACATGACCTTTCGTCGCGTGATGGCACTCATCAAATATAATGACGTTTATTGACTTTAAATCTATAAAAGTATGCTTAAGTGCTGCATCGGCAAAACACTGAGCTGTCATCACAAAAATTTGATTTTTGTTCATTACATCAAGCCATTTGTGTGCATCAAAGTCATCGACGTTATTATCACCAGTTAAAACAGCAACATTAAAAGGCATTAGATGTTTTATACGATCACCTTGTTGTTTTGCAAGAGCAATTGTTGTGACAAGGAAAAATGATCTCTTTCCACCATCGCTATATGAAGCTTTCAGACTTTCCGAAAAGTGCTTAATTACTTGAATTGCAATGTACGTCTTTCCTGCTCCTAATTGAATAAAATGCAGTTATCATTATAAAACTGAATCTTGTAATGGACTTACCAGTTGGCAAATAAACGAGCGAATTACGCTCAATGCAAACATTAATAATGTTTTGTTGATATTCTCTATCTTTAAAAGCGGCTTTCTGTGGAAATGATGTTTATTTACATTTTTTGCATGAAAAACAATATTGAGTATTTAGAATAAAATGAAGAAATTAAGAATACGTCATGAAAAACTTACAGTAACTTGTTCATTCATGTTTTAGACATTCAGGCGTCACGTTAGATAAAAGAACTAAATTGCACAACAATGATTCACTTCTTTTAAGCAATTTTTTTTTTTTATATTCACACCGTTTTCACGTGTGATTGTTTTGGTTTTGTTCAGATTGAAAAATCAGTTTTTAGAATTTTGTAAGGATATGGAGCAAGATAGCTTAAAATGTTCAGTGATGAAAAGTTTGTGCCTGAAATTTCACATCTTTTGCAAGAAACAGATTTCAAATTGGTTGCGGCATTGCTGAAAAATCGCAAAATATGCTTTCTGTAAGCAAGCAAACAAGCAAGTTAATCAGCAAGAAATCTCAATAACGAGACATCGTAGAGACTTCTAGTTTTTTACATTTGATCCGTGCTGCTGTATAGAAGAGCTGTATTGTTTTTGGGCAAGGTAGGAACAGCCGTTGCTTCGGAAAAAGCAAAAAACTTTCCTTTCTTACGAATTTTCCAAATTTAAATGTTCACTGTGATTTTTTTTAAATTAAACTTTGGATGAAAAAAATTTTTTGAGCAAAGAACCAAGTAGGAAACACATTTTCAAATTTGGACTAGGGGCGACCCTAGTCAAAATCAATTTTGTCACTTTTTTCTTCGAAGGTTTATCCAATTACAGTGAAACTTTGTGTGAGTATACTAATATTTATACAAAACAGTTTTAAATATCTAAAGCAAGAAATGTATTCTATATGTCGTCAGACCCAAATTTTATAAATTTGGTTCTACATATAAAAACAACGTGACTTAAAATTTTTCCAAAAAAATGATTTTTACTAATTCAGAAATGTGTGAACTGAGGATTAGAATGCTCATACGAAGTTTTACTGTATTTGGATTTATCCTCGAAGGGAAAAAAGTGAAAAACGAGATTTTGACTAGACCTGTCCCAAGTTCATAATTGAAAATGTATTTCCTACTTGGTTCTTTGGTCAAAAAATTTTTTTGGAGTTTTTATTTGAATTGACATAATTCTGACATAAATCACATACCAATATTACTTTTTGTAATGCATAGCTGAAAAAAAATCGAAATCTAAAATTTCGACTACCCCATCTGAATTTTGTTCATACTCTTCACTGTGGAAACCAAAAAACAAATTCTTTATCTTAAAACACTTGAAAAAATAGCGACATAATTCAGGATTAATTATTTTTTAATAATATTTTAACATTTACGAGAAAATGTGGTTCAAATAAGTGTGAAGTATGGCCGAGATTTGGACCAAAATCAGCTATACTGGTTCATGGTGTTCCCGAGGGTGACAAAATTCAAACTAAGTTTTTTTGTAGCTGACATAATTATGACAAATTAGGTATAACTTTTGAACTGTGTCGATATGAGTCTCGGGTACTTCACGCCCACCCTTCAAACTTATGCTGAGCAAATCTTGGTCTATCCATAAGACTTTTGATGGTACGGTGTGAATATATCCGCATTGGGTTTCTACCCGATACACTAGTTGTTATTAAAAATGATGAATTCTTTTTTGATACAAAAATCTGTAACAAATGTTATTTTTATGTTAATTCAAGATGATTCACTAATTATATAGTATAAGCTTATCCAATATATATTAACAATAAATTATTAAGCCAAAATACTACTTTTAATTTAATTAAAAAAAAGAAATTTCATAATCTCGCTTCAGTCTTGTTCAATATTCCAAACCCAACTGAACTTATCTTGTTTTTTCGAAACACAATCTGATGACTCATAATTTTGACCAACAATATTCCTTTACATTAGGGATCAGAGGTATTCAAGGGGGTCAATAAATGATATGTCTCAAATATTAAGGAACTCAATATTGATTCCGATTCGTACAATATTGATTGTATGTTTACATATTTTATTAATTTATTGAAAAGAAAAGTTTGTGAACGATACACAAAAAAAAACGGAAAAAAACAAATAAAAATATTTGTTTCTTTAAATTTCAAATGTTATGTACAGAATTGAAAATATAAAATATTTTGCATTGTAAAGACTTTTAATAAAGCTAAGTCACGTTTAAAAGCAGAGGCTCTCAAACTGTTTTTCGTGACAGTATTATGCGTCTTTTTTTTATTAAATTTGAAAATTTTAAGATAAGTCTAATCTTTTAGAAATTTATTGCACTATTTTATCTTCAAAATCGTTTTAATTCAAAATATTAACTATAATATGAAGTTTCATCGGAAATGTTGATTTGAATAATACATTTTAATAATTTATTATATTAATATTCAGTTAAATATCTTTGACTGTATCATTTTAACATGTCTGCTTAATTATTCAATAATTTATTAGATCAACTTATGCCTCCATTGTCTGTAAACGATTTGTATATAAAAAGCTTATCTTTTTGTTCTATTCCTAGAAATTTTCAAATTTGAATATTTTAATATTAGAAGCTTTGAACTTCCTTTAGCTATCTCTTAGGATATCAACGTTCTGAAAAATTCAAGAATCTGTAATACTTCATGCTACTCATAAACAGATTCACCTACTTTCTTTCTTTCTCAGCTTATTAAAGATGAAAAGTGAATATAAATGTCAATTTATTGTCATTAATGACACGTCCATAAGGATTTGTCCTTCTTTAGATTTAAAATATAATAACTTCAACTTCTTGGAGTTTACAAAGAAAACAGGGTTATTAACGCAAATTAAAGCATGGATGCTAAGAAAATTGGGTGTGGGAGGTTAATTTTTTCAGCGTCCTTTAAAATTTATTTGATTTTATTCGAATCCTATAAGATTCTCTCTTCTGCTATTTCAAACACAGTTATTTATAACTTGTTTCAAAGGATAAAATAGTCGAGAATCTGTTTAAATTTAAAATATTTAAAACCACTTGCTGACTACGCAATTGGTTTCTGTACAATAATCTGAGATTTCACAATGATTCAGATTTGAAAAAAATGTTCAAAAATTCAAAAGTAACAAGTTAATTAAACTATATGTTTTAAATGCTAGATTAAAGAACATGATTTGTATTATGTTCTGTAAAAATATCTCATTCCAATATGTTGTCTAGTTCACAAAAATTCGATTCTAAGATGAACATAAATTTGTTTACAAAATGACAACAAATATTTTTCTTAAATTTTTTCTCCTTTCTACTTTTAATTTCTTGTTTTAATGCTGATAACTAGCTTAATTAAGCTTAGTACTTTGTGTTTGTGTGAAGAAACCAAAGGAATGACTTATTAATTGGGTGAATATTCATGATTAATTTTTTTGAAATTTACCAAGACTTTAAACACTCATAAGTTAAATTTGCGTCTCTTCGCTTCTACCAAACCTATTAAAATCCCAAGAATAAAGTCTAATTAACCTTCCATATTAATGTGTACAAGCCCAAATATGCCCGAAGCAAGATATTTGCGATTGAAAATCAGTTAATTTTTCATATAAATGACTTAATATTTTGCAAATCTGAATCATTGTAGATTTGCGTTTTTCTTAACCTCGGAATTTAAGACAAGCATGAAACAAACTGCAAAATTCTTCATTGTTAGATAAGGATTTCCTTATTATTTCTAGTAATTTAGATTATTTTTCAATTAATTCTTTTAAAGTACTTTTTTGCCTGATGGCAGCAAAAAAAAATTAGATCACACAAAACAAGGCTGTAAAATAAAATTAACATCCACACAATGTCACACATGAGCAACAAGAATAATCAGCCACAAAAAATAAATTTCAACACATTTTATTAAACAATTTTTTGTCATAGGTATATAATACACAAAGTTCATAAACCATCACATCATGTTTTCTCTTGTTTGTGACATTGGCTTTCAGTCAACACAACAATCTCTACTAGCATCAATTTTGGTTAATTTGGTTATGCTCCAGCCTTAGCGATACCTTGAAATTGAGATTAGTAGAGTTGTTTTTTTGAAAAATGTTTTAGTAAAAAATCTCAAGCATCATAAGTTGTTGGTTGCTTCTGTTCATGTCCTTGTCGATTATTCTGCTGTTCATAGTCATTAAAAAGTATCATGTTATCCATATGATTATTGCTTTCTTTCCAAGGTTTATAAAAATTTTGCTGATTTTTTGACTCGTCATTTTCAATCATTAAATTCTCAAAATTCTTGTTTTCATGGCCAAGCAAAGATTTCGGTGACTTCTCAGAACTTCTTCTCATTATTTCGTAATCCATCATTGGGCCATACAGGATGTCGAAATTTGCATTGTTTAACGGATACGGATGCATGCTGGTTGATCGTTTTCTTACATAATTAAAACAGCAAGTTCTAAAATGTCTTGTTCCACAGGCTCGTGCACATTCTGATCCACAACTATCGCATGACATAGCTGATACAAATCCATATTCCCATACTAGGAGATAAATACAAAACAAAACCATTGTTGGAACTGACTTCATTGTAAATTCGTGTGTTGAGATTGTGTATTCTTAAATTTATATCCTTAAAGTTCTATGTTGTATGTTCTATTTATGCTCGATTATTTCTCATAGTTTTTAGAATTAACTGTCTTTCACTTCACAATCCAAAGAAATATTCTTTCGCTTCTACGATACTTTCACTTACGGATGCAAAAAAGGAACTACAGAAATTTCCATTCATACATCTCCTTATAAAGCATTTTGAGCTTAACAGCGGAGAAGAGAAAAAAATAAAGTTGAAAGAAGTCTGTTCAGAGCTGAATTTACAAAAAGGAATGGAATCACCACACATCTTCATATTTTAATTATAACTTTAATGATAAAAGTTAATAACGCATGAAAGAATAGACATAGATGCTCATATGAGGTTGTTTAAAAATGATGGATATCTGAAAATTTGAAGCCACCTTCTTCTTTAGCTAGCTTCTAAACTCCCCCTGTAATCCAGAATCATTGTCGAAAGGATTATATCATGAATGTTGTGCAACCCCTGCCCTACTAATCTCCTAAAATTACAAGTTGCTTCAGCTCTTTAATAAGCTCCTGGTTCTGAGTGTGTTCAAACTTTTAAAATCGTGACAAGGCCTCTCCTTGTTATAATGAATCAAACTAATTTATTAACAACGCTTCCTTTATTTTGATTTTTTTAAAGGGGTAACCGTATAATGGGAAATTCCCTTCGTAGGAGAAGGTGCTAATTCTATTTCATTTTTTCATCCCTGTTTGCTTTTCTTTCAATTCATACGTCATTCATAAACTACCCTTAATATATGACTTGATGCGGTTCCCATAAAAGTTTCTATGATTTACTTCGACTCTGCTTCATCAAGTTAATGACTAAATAATGAGTGCTAGAGATGATTCTTTAAAAATTTTATTAATTCATGGAAATTTTTCTTTCAGCTTCAGCCTGTTTATTAATCAAGGGACTAGAAAAATAAAATTCTATCCGCCAAAAAATGGATTGTTGGCAAAAAGTGCATGATAAGTTGCTTTAGCGAGTTGATGATAAATATTCAGCGAGCATCAAACACCTACATTGAAAAAGTTTGTTGGAAAAAAAATGAATAAAAAGTTCATCCTTTGATGATTTAATCAATATGGAAATTTGTTCTGTGTATGCTGTGTGATCATGAGAATAATGGGAGATTGCGGCATTAACACCATTCAAATTATTTAACTCTTACAAGAAATACTTGTGAGGAAGTATGACAAGGCTGGCTTGAAAGCGCATTTTTGAATAATTTGGATTTTCCTTATATGGCACGCAACTGTTGTGTTGAATTTTTTATGACACGCAACTGTTGTGTTGAATTTTATATGACACGCAACTGTTGTGTTGAATTTTATATGACACGCAACTGTTGTGTTGAATTTTATATGGCACGCAACTGTTTCATTGGTATAATTTTGTATGGAACGCAACTGTTGTACTAGAATCATTTTGTATTGAGCAACAGTTGCACTAGGATAAATTAAATAGCTCGAAACTATTGTTCTGAATATTATTTGACTTTGTATAACTGGTGTGCTGCAAATAATTCTTTGTGGTGCACAATGGTAGCAAATGACATAATTTTGATCAAAATTCCATTCAATTACTTATCTCTGGTATCAAAAACAGACATATAGTCAATTCTTGTCACCTACAAACATCATATCCATCTTATAATATCAGCTAGTAAATCATATGACGTTGGATATTAAAATTCCATGAACATAATCTGATTTTCATTAACAAAAAAAGGGTTTTGCTATTTTTAATTGCTTAAGTCTCCCCTTATTATTTTTGGATCATGACTGACTAATAAAAATATCAAAATGTCTTTTGATGTTTTCTTAATATTGACAAAAAGCATAGCCAAATTGGCGAAAAGAAGGCGAAACATTAAAAGGACATTAAATATCATGTTCAATTTATGACGAGTTTAAGACTAATGGACTCATTTCGTAATTAAACTATTAGTCTGAAAAGAAATAATATTTTGATTGATGTCAAACGCCAACGCATTACATCCCTTGTCAAATTTCTGTATGTAAATTATACATATCTTTTTATTACCTATTAAAACATTATTATGGACTAAAATTTTAATTAACGAATTTTAATATTGTATTTTTCAATCAGTTCCTTAGATATTGCATCATGTAAATCATTGGCTTCTTCCTGTGTTAGTGTACGTTCCATATGTCTATAAACTATTCGAAATGTGAGGCTATTCTTGCCGGTTTTTGGATGAGTAAATTTATCGAGCAATGAAACTTGCTCAACAATATCCCCTCCTACACTTCTGACCACATCATAGACATCGTTCAATGAAAATGTCTCGAAATTGAGCTCTGATGGCAACCAGAAAGAGATATCATTTGCACATTGTGGATATTGTGATATAGGCTTGTACTTAAAGTTTTTATTCAACTCATCCTCATTGAATTGATTAATGAAGCCAGAATCTTGGCTCCAAAAAAGTCTAATGTCTGGGATATTATAAATTATCATAGCTAAACGTTCAAGGCCTAAGCCAAAGGCATATCCAATAGAATTGTGTATGCCAGCTCTTGACAGTATTTCGTTCCTCATTATTCCACAACCGAGGATTTCGAACCACTTATCATTGTAGTAAATCTCAAGTTCCCATGATGGTTGTGTAAATGGAAAGTATGCATCGACCTATTTTGGTATTAGCAATTGAGTGATTAGAATATATTATAAGAATTCAGTACCTACCCATCTGTATTTGAGCTGATTGCCGAATAATGACATAACTAGTCTTTCTAATGTATTTTTCATTTCATATTCCATTAATTTAACAGATTCAACTGTATGGCAAGGCTGTTTCACTTGATCAATGCACTTTTCAGATGATCCAACCATCTCAGACGATGTATTTACATTCTCACTAAAGTTTTTCTCGAAAATCTCCAGATCTGGATTGTTTTTGAAGAGCTTATCGTTGTGGACAATTCGGACAGCATCAACCTATATCCATATATTCAATTAATATAAAATTGTTACAAGAGTCAAGTCACTGAATGTCACCTGATGAAATACAGGAAAATGAGTAGCATCAATCTCATCTCGTCTATAAACATCTCCAACAACTAAGAAGTTATCAAGTCCTGATCTGAGTAATTCAACTTGATGTGCGGTACAATGAGCTCTCAACATATATCCTCGATTAATATAATAACAATCACTTTTAGCTCTACTAGGATGATCTTTCGGTATTAATAATGACTCAAAATTCTGATTTACAGACACAATTGGACTTAGTCGATCAAAAACACTGAATAATGGAGTTCCTTTAGGATTTGCATATTCTTTATAAAAGAAATTCACGATACGTTGCCTCATAATCGACAGTGGATGATGCTTTTTGAGATGTAAATTCTGTAATAACATCAATTGTCTCAATCAATGATCAAAGTCTATAAATTGAAGCTTACCATGTCTAAATAACTTAGGATTTTTGGTGTTAAATTGAAGTAATCGTCTGATTCATATTTATTATTCTGTAGTTCGATGACATTTTGTACAGGCTGTGTACTTACAATCCTTGTAAATGCCTGTGATATGTGCTTAATCTTAATTATGCCAGAATTCAATAGCATTCTTGAAATTGATAAAATTAAAAATTACAAAAGTCCTGATGTTGGATTCAAGTGACTTTAGCGCATTTTTTGACACAGCGACTAGCATTTTATTAGCAAATTGGTTCAAATTTATTATCAAACTACGAATTTTATGCATTATGCACAGGATTTCATACGTTATTTACATATGATAGTTAATTTAAGTAACAAAATTTAATAAAATCTATTAACGGCTTTTAAAAATTCAAGCTACAAGAAGACATCAACTATTTAAAAAACAAAAAGCCGTTACCAGATTAAGATTTTTGCTCGAGCTTCTTAAGATATTCCTTCCCTGAAGCCTAGACAAGAGGAAATGCGGATTTCATTAATTCCTGAACTTGCTATAATGCTCTAGAATCGCTGCACAAATTTTAATCCTCTTAGTTGCTTGCTGGGATGAACGTGCATCAATTATGATTTAACTTTAAAGTCTACTTGACTTTTTTCATGCAAGTTTCATGCAAGTTGAATGACTTATCATTAAATTCATAGGTTTTGGTAACGGGCTCTTCACTTATTACGTAACGCGAAAAAATGACTTCTTAGACCCCCCCCCCTCGTAACAAAATTTGTATGAAAAAAAAAATTTCCTTGTTTGAACCGTAACAAAATCTTAGACCCCCCTCCCCCTAAAAGCGTTACGTAATAAGTGAATGGCCCCTAATAAGATCCTGGAATGGATCCTGAAAAGTCAAAATAAATCACAGCACAGCACAGCATTTTTAGTGTAATTTTACAAGTGAAATTTATTTCTTTATAATTTTAAAGTTTACATCTTATATAGAGGGTTTTCGAGATATTCAAAGGCTCTACTTCATCAAACTTCTTTTTAATTTAATAAAATCTTCGATTTTTTTTTTAGTTTTTGCTTAATCGTCTTTGGTTTAACTAGTATAAATAAGAAATTAATTAATTAATTTGTTTTGTATAATTCTTTTTGAAAAAAGGGGTGTGTTTCGTGGGGTGACTATATGTGTGTGATACATGTGGCACAATTACTTTTATTCTTAATAAGGAGACATTGAAACAGTCTAGAATAATTGGTTGGTTTCTCAATTTTAATGATGATGGGATCTTATAGATGAATTAAAGTTGTTCGGAACAAAATGCAATGTACTAAGATTAAATCTCATCTTATGATATAATTTAGGCGAAAAATTCGAACTTTTGAATAATCTTATATTCCTCCTCTTCGACTTTCAATACATCAATTAACTTTTGTAAATCATGAGATAAACTTTCGAGTTGCTTATCGTGTGTTATTTTAAGCTTTTCTTTTTCGCGATTCTGCTTAATAGTGGCACTCTGCAATGGAATCAACGATTATTAGGATTCTATTAATACATATATATAGTAACTTTACCTTCTTCTCATCCATGAATCTCTTGATATTATTCTGCTTCTTCTCACGCAATCTTCGATCCTTTTCACCTTTAGTTTTCAATGTTTTATCATTAGCGACTTCCTTGCTTGTTTCCACAGATATCTTAGCTTGTTTGGTATTCAATTCTTTGATTTCACGTTCATGTTTAGCTTCCAATTGCTTCATTTGGGCCAATTGAGCGCCTTCCATTAGTTTTCTAAAATTTTAAATCATTAGATTAAGTTTCAAGAATCAACGGTTAGAAAATATTTAAAAAACAACGGTGAAAGATTATAAATTCAAAAAAAAAATTAACGCTTAAAAATGTAAAATCACCTTAAAATTTCTTGTTGATCAGTAATTTGCTGTTTCAGCATTTCCCATTCTTCCTTCTTATGTCTCTCAACCATTTCACTCCACTGAGCATTTTGCTCTTGAATTACTTTACGAATTGAAGCATCATTCTTAATTTCGTCCTTCGATTTTCCTTTGATCAATCGCTCAATTGATCCATTTTGAGTTTTTTGTAGTGCCATACGCTCTTTGGATTGTCTCTTGCGAATTGCATCGATTTCTTTTTGTTGCTTGCGTGCAGTTTTAACGAATCCTTTCTCCTGACGCAATGTATCGATCGTTACTGGTTCGAAAACTAAAGGTTCTTCCTTCTTCTCTTCCTTTTTGTCAGCTTGACCACCTGCACCGGCACTTCCAGATGCTTCTTCAATGCCCATTGCTTTCATATTATCAGATCTTTCTTTTGCGGCACCCATAAATGCTCTGGGATCTGAGAGAGCAGCCATAAAGTCTTCAAAACCATCAGGAACATAAATTTTCAATTCAATATTACAGAACAGCATAGGTAATGACATGGGAAAGTTTGCCTCAGTTCTTAAAGAAATATGGCGATATCCAGCTTGTAAACCATCTAATGGTAAAATTCTTTGTCCTAACAACTTTCCATTCTCATCATACACACCAAACCGTAAAACAGCGAGATCAGGCAATACAACTTTACGGAACAAGAATGGTTCCTCATTATAAATTGGATTTAATCCGTTTGCCGGAACCATTCTAGTACGGAATTCTTTACGAATTGTATCACTTGGTAAACCTGGAATGAAGGAATATGATTTAAATTATTTTAATCCGATGGATTTAATATTAATCTTGAACTCTTACCATACATATCAACCTCAACGTATGTTCCAACCTTTTTATCAGATAAAAATTGACCTGCAATGACTTGAACTGAGCACTGAGCAGCAATGACTCCATCGACGGGAGCATCAGCAAATGGATCGAAACTACGATCAGACCGACGCATGAAATCTGGCTTTAATAAGTATCCACAATTCCCATTATATTCAAATTTTCCTTGATTAAGTTGTTGTGGCAAGTCGGATGTTTGGAAATTCAACGAAACCTAAATAAATGTTGACATAATAAACAAGTGAGACTCGATACTCGGTTATTCATAGAATATAATGTGCTTACCATTTGACAGCCAGCATTCCAGAAAACTTGCGGCATGTAATTTGAAGAATCAGCTCGGGTGCCTTTCGGATAAATACGAGACATTTGACGTTTATTGTAGTTGACAAACTCGATAGATTGTGTCTTAAGTAAATTCATTCCTGTAGTTTCTGCGAATGAGCTCATGTTGTGATGAATATTTTTCTGTTCGGCAACATCGAAACCTTGAAATTTAATTGGTTGAGCATAGTTAACCATCGACGACAACCATGGATGTACATTTGTTGTTGAGCCTGTATACTGTATTGGTGGGACATCAGCATCACCGCCATCTTGTGACTGTGCATTATTAACTGCTGCTAGAATCTCTTCTGGTTTCCTATCGGGAAGTGCACCAGCGTCTTCCTTAACATCATCTTCAATGACAAATTCGCCCTGTAAGAATAATTCTAATTCCTTCTTTTCAACTTCTGGCTTAAGTCGCTTATTCTTAATGAGGATCTTTCGCTTTAATAATGACGGCGGGGGCAAAGGAGCTCCCGGATCGAGTGGATAATCAGGAATCGGTTCCTTTAATAATAAATCACCAAAAATTTCATCACAATATTTTGCCAGCTTATATTGTTGCGATTTACAGCAATGATTTTCGAACGACAATATTACAGGATAGTCGGATGTAACAAATGCTGTATCTCGTATCGCATAAATGACATCTTTAAATAGAATATCCGTGCACATTGCCATTCCGTGTGTTATAATCTACAGATAAATTGGACATTAATAGTGTTATGTGGCTAATAATATCAATCAATTAAGCTTACCGGCTCTTCATCTTCGCCTATAAAAATTGAAAATAAATAGAATATAAAGGTAAAGATAATAAAAAAGTTGGAGCTATTTTTAATTATTTGATATTGTTCTCACCCTTTCCATCCCAACAATCGAGCTCGACACATCGGCAGCCTGCCAATAAAACTTGACGATACATTTCAACACTCGACTTTCCACCAAACTGTCGACCAGATAAATACGTATTATGAGATGAATTTATGTAATAATGCGATAAGGACTGATCCATTTCCATATATATGTCCAATCTGTCGAGGAAAACTGGAGCATTTTCATCTGACATTAAATAACGTATAAATCCATCCTTTGAGAGCATTTTCTTAGCTATTGTCTCTTCAGATTGTTCATAAGTGTTGATTATCTCCAATGCTCTCTTCTCATCATACAATGGATATAAAATTTCGTTGAGGCGAGGATCACGTTGCTAGTTTTGTGTAAAGAAAATGCAATTAAATTTGTGCACATACTTTATGTAAATAAATCCTTTGACTTACTTTTTCGTTTAAGAAGTTGACAAATTGCTCGATGTTGATTTCGTTTGCTTTTCCTTGAGTACTGAAATTTAAAAAATTACAATTTCATCCCCAATAATTTTCGAATCATGTCATATCGCTTTGATAACTCTATATATAATAATCTCTGATAAAAATAGAACAGAATCAGATAATACTCACATGAATCGAAACAATTCCTCAATATCATTACGTGGACAAATTTTGTGATAAAGTTCATAGAACTTATCGAATGTAAAATCTGCCTTTGGAATAGATTCATTTTTACCGCTTGGCAAGCCCAGATCCATTAAACATTGATAAACCAATTTCTCGGTTTTACCTGTATGGATGAGAAAATAGGAAGTGTAAAATAATATAGAATGTAATATTACTGCTTGTTTAAAGCAATTATTTAATTTTAAACTAATTATAGAACAGATTAATGCAAACTAGTCATGAAAAAAAAAGGTTAAAATGATTGTATTTAAAATAATAGGCTTGGGTGTGAATCGTTCGTTATTAAAGATAAAATTAGATAGCATTCATAACTTTTTCATCATGACAGGTTTATCTCTCGATCGTTTTCTAATGAAAATGTATGAGAAAATTCTCATCAAATTAAAATGGAAAGAAGTTTACCTGATGCAAAAGTACGAGCAATACATTTTACTGGAACATTTCCTTTTACATCGACAGTAAATCCCAAACGCATCCAACTGTTAATAAAATTATAGAGAAAAAAAAAAAACAAAAATTTATTTTAATTCATTGAATGATTTCAAATGTTTTTTAGCCATATATCTAATGAGATTTATATAATATGAATATAGTCACAAATAAGGAAATGATAAAGAACATCGACAAATGGACGTTTGGAGCGCATTCTTGTGGATTTGGTTAGCAGAATTCCTGAAATTATTTATTTTAATAGTTTTTTGGTCTACATTTTTGATTCATAATTCTGATTTTTGATCTTCTGCAAGTTTAAAGCTCAACCAAAAAGTTGTAAAATACATGCAACATAAAAGCACACCTTAAACTCAAATCATTAATTCATCTCATTTACGAGAGAAGAAGAAACATTGTTTGCAGCATATCATAATTGAACCTTTTCTAAACCTATTCGAATTAAAATCCAAAATAAAAATGTTCAAAATTTCAAAAAATCTGCACTAAAACAATAAATTCTTCATAATCTAATAACATCCGCTCGAGGAACCAAAGTGCGTTCTCACAAAACTGCGCTGCAAAAATGAAATCAGACTGCGAAAAGGAAATGAAAATGAACATAATATTTACAAAAAAAAAAGAAATATTAAAAAGAAAATGTAGATAAAGTAGCGATTAATTTGAGGAACGAAATACGCTTGGGAAATTGACAAAATTAGCATTTTCGTTGATATTATTTTATTGAAGAATTAACATTTAGTGATGTGGAGACTTGAATCATATGACAGAAAAATGAAGCAGAATTTTTAAGAAATTAATTTTAGTTTAGACTATTAAGGCAAAAGCTTGCATGATTGAATTAATGTGACACAAAAAACAAAAATGTTGTCGTGGATGAAATGCAATGTGGTGTGTAGGTCACGATGCGAAATTATTTTAGCGTACTTTAAACCAATAAAATTTTAGTATTATTGATTCAATTAAGCAGTGGGAAAAAAATTCGACGCAATCCAATTAAAAGCTTTAAGCCACTTACTGCTTCATAAGCATGGTTCTCGGACATGCATTAGCTTGTTTGGAATTATGAGTAATTTCTCGAAGGCCCCTTTGCCACTTCTGAATAAAAAGAAAACGGTTTAAGAAAAAAAAAGAAAAAAATAAAAAAGAAAAACGAAAAAAAAAGTGTTAAATCATAGCAAATTTTAAAATGCGCTTATTTTGAGGAACTGACAGGCTTCTCGAAAGGAAATTGTGGTCACTGAGATTCAGTGTTGTTATTCGAGGTATTGTCTTTTTGTAGAAATCATATCCAAACCAAACTGTTCAGTTGTCTCAGCCTAGACCAGTGATATCAATCTTTTTTAAGGTTACGGCATATTTTAAACTTTCAGAATCTTTTGCAGTACATTTAAGGATCTACCACGACACATATGTTGGTCACCATTAGCATAGACAATCAGATTCACATCACAAAAAGAATTCAAACTTGTTTACAATTATAGGAATCTAACCGTAGCTTTTAATCAAATAGTCAGTCTAATTCTGATCTTTCACTAATGCCATTCGTCATTTTAGTCTGAAAATCCCATTTTTTATGGATGTCATAAGTGAACAACACTGGTCTAAACCAAGATATCATCTGATTGAGCCATAAGCTTGTCACTTGCACGTTTAACTCAAATTTCAACTGACCAAGACAACAACAAAACTGGAATCCATTTGTTATCTCAATTCACAATTTCCGCAACGAAAATTAGTCTGTAAAGTCTCAAAAACAGCGCACCTTAAACTCAAATCATTAATTCATCTCATTTGCGAGAGAAGAAGAAACCTTGTTTGCAGCATTTTTTACAAACAATGCCGTAAATTATAATAAAATGAGATAAATGATTTAAACATGCATTTTTTCAATTTATCTATGCTGATAATTTCTCTTTTTTAGGAAACACTCAAATCAATACATCGTAAATGTTTTTTGTTTGTAATTCAATTAATAATTCTAAAGAAAAAAAAAATATAAATATAGATTAATATAAAGCACACAAAACGTGGTTTTAGTAACCAAAAAAAAGGAAGCTTCGCTGATTATTTAAAAAAAGGAAACTCAAAAAATATCAAAAGAATCGCTGAATTTTGTTACTTACTGTTTTTTCAAACAGGTCATTGGACAGAAATTGTTTGCTTTACCATTATGTGTTATCTTACGAAGACCTTCTAACCAGATCTGAGATAAAGTAATAAAATCAACAACAAGATTTAGAAGAGTAAAAGAGTTGAGAATGCATGAATATTTAAAAAGAAATGTTTTGTGTATTAATTTGACTGTTTTCGATGTGATTTGTGTGATCCTCGCCGAATGAGAGTTTTAGAAACCAACTGTTGAAGAATCGTAAAGGAAATGCTAAAGAAGATTGTTTAAACAACTTCCAATGAGGGTTTGAGATGTTCTTTGTTTACAAATTTTTGGCAGTCAATTTCTAGTCATGTTAACAATATTCCTGTATTTTTAAATTTAAAGTTTGACATTTGAGGTATTAAACTCTTTTAAAGTTTAAAGAAAATGTTCAAAACATAATTTTTCAAGGACCAAATTTACGAATAACATTAAAGATCCAAATTTGAACATTTACACATACAAACTAGAAAATTATCAAAGGTTAGAGCATGATTAGCAATCCGATCAATAATATGACATAAAATGTTCAATTGTTCCAAAATTAAAAACTTGAAAACTAAGAAATTGGAAATTTTGATTTTTTTTCTTTTTAATGCATCCAAAACCATTGTCAGTAGGAATCAAGAATTCGATACAATTCGTCGAGGCCTAAGGAGTGTTACAATACGTATGCCTTCTTCCGAAACCGCAATTATGATTGTTATATGACAGTATTGACAATTAATTATGTTCAAACAGACAGAAATATTCTCATCATATAGAACAGCATATAGCACCAAAAACTTGTGTGAATTTGTTAGTTTGATGAATTGACAAAAGACCTTGCTTTTGTGCTATCACGTATTGTTGATTCCTATTCATATGTACTGAATTATTACATTTTAAATTAACTTATTGTTGATTGAATGAGAAAGGTTAGTGTCTAGAGATCTTTATTATTTCTAGAGAAGAATATAGAATTATGTGTCAAGTAAAGTGTTGCTGACTCAAAAAAAAAAATCTATACACATGATGCACGTGATTAATTGAATATTATATTTCATTCAGTATTATTTCCATAAAGATGCATAGATTGTTAGTATTAAATTCACGAGTGTTTCCTCATATTTATATATGCAATGTTGTCGACGACTGTTGTTTATCTTCATCATTACTAATTCTATTTCTCCTTTATTTTTTATTTTATTCTTATTACTGTTGTGTAAGTTCTGCGAATGCCTTAGTAAATGGAAATCAGATTGAATTTTCAAGGTAAACTTTTCTCATCACCAAGATTATTGTGCGTTCCATGTACCAAGCATACGCGTTTATGTTTAATTAAGAGAATATCAAGAGAGCGAGAGGAGCATAAAAGAAAAATAAACAGATACGAACCTTGGCAAGCTCAGCTGATGGACAAATTACATGCTGATAATTAATATTAATATAATCTGTTCCCGAGCATATTGTCAAGGATTTATCCTCTAATGTTTCACCGTGACGATTAAACAATTGATTTGTCAATTTCATATCCTTAGGCAGACCTCCAGCGCGAATATCACTGACTTGACATAATTCAACAACATCACCTTCCTGTGTATGAAGAAAATAGAGAAAAAGAGACATGCTGAGTTTGTCGATTCTTCAATTTTCTTCTCAGACACTCACCTTCCCCTCACTTTTCCAATAAACGAAGAATCCATATTCATCCACTTTGAATGTACAGTTCGTCTCCAGTTCCGTATTATCCTTTTCTTCTGTCCATCTATCGAATACGGCACCTTGCGTCAGCTATATCCATTTATTATTTAAATCAACAAAATTACAGATTATTAAGAATGAAGAAAAAGGTCAGGTTAGTTAATTTAAGTCTTGTTATATCTTTGACTAGACATAGACTTTACTTGTCTACACTTTAAATGTGTTTGTACTTTTGGTAAATTAATTTAACCGCAGGTGAATTACATATTAGAATTTTATTTCGGGATTATTTAAAGAACAGGTGTAATGCCTGTCAAATGGGATTATCATTGAGAGTTGTAAGATTTCTGAGAACTCTGATTTGTGAATGGAATAAATCAAAGAATTGCTTGTTAATAGAGATTCTTTTTTGCAGCTATTAAGTTTAAGTTATGCGATTCTTTTATTAACTTCGCAAGCTATTTTGGGATTTCTGCAACTCATCTAGAATATTTTAATAGCTTCTTTAACGTTTGATTGGGTTTGATCAAGCATTATAATAATTTAAGAGTCGTTTACAAATCACGACTAGCTTTGAGAGAATCGAGTGAGGATGCCTTTCAAATTCATAATAGTATATGTAAACTTATGTGAAGGAACATCAAATTTAATTTTAGCCCTTGGCTTTTAAAAACCACTCTTAAGTCTCTAAAACACACATTCTTTGCCTTTCACTGATTGCAATTCACTTATTTGTATCACAACCCCAAACTGCTTTTAAAACATTGAGTATTGTTATTTCTACTACAAGTTCATCAGATTTTACACCTCAAAAAGCACAACACATTGTGGTAAAAGTCTATGTCTAAAGCATAACACTGAGTCAAAGCAAAACAAAAAAGAATTTTTAAAACATACCTCATCAGGAACCGGAATTTGCCAATTGAATTCAAATTTCTTTGTCATCTTTTTAAATCACAATTCTGAGAAGAAAGAAAAGAAAAGAGATGGAAAAAAAAATATGAAAATGGAAAAGTATAGAAAAATGAATACGAGAAAGAAAGAGAGAGTGGAAAAAATGTTTCAGAAATTGTTTGCATATGATATTAAATAAACACACGTATATAACGTTATCGCCATTTACGTCATCGAACAATAAATTTATTACATTCATAAGGAGTAAAAAAGGACTTACTCACAATACTTTTTTTTTTTGAATGGAACTTAGACGTCAGTAGGAAAGAAAGAGAATGAGGAAAGCTGAGAGATTTATTTTAATAAAGGCTCAAGTTCACTTGAAAGTACTTAATAGATGGAACGAGAATTTGTAAAAAAAAAAAAAATTAAACAGAGCAGGAAGATATGACCGAGTACTTCAAGGAATTGAAAATGACTAAAGTTTTAGTTTTTTTTTTGTGAATGAAACAATTTAGCATTTTGAATCAGTAGCAAGTGAAACCTTAAGTTAATTTCCTACATGTGCATACATTACCTTACTATTCCATATATTTTTTTAATTGGATTATAAATGTTCTATTGAGATAGTATGTAGAGGTACGTGAATAGGCAGTAGTTTAAATTGTTATTTCTAAAAACATCTATTGAAACCAATACATTTACTCAATTTTTTTATATTCATATTATTCATTTGATAGCTTGCTTCACAAACGCTCATCATTTTTAAAATCAATGCTGTCAATCATCAAAAGTGTTTTATACATCCTTTTGTGTACTATGCTGAATTGATGTATGTATGTAGTTATTTTTAAATCATATGTGCGATGTTCATATTGGTTTTTTGGTGAATTTCTTCATGTGCGACATTATTAACCATGATTTGTCTGCTTCATGTGTCTGATTTTATGGTCAATTAATATATTTTAAAGAAATTACTGAAATTTTAACGAAACTGTTTCAAACCTAGTTTAAATATTTTCTAACCGTTAATTTTTAACTTTTATTTAAAATTAAACATTTAAATGCGCTTCCTTGGGCCAAACTGACCACATCCATACCAGCTTTTTATCATGGAAAAAAAAATATTGGACGAAGGTGTAAAGAAATTCATTAATTTAAAAATAAATATTTTTATTTGTCTAAAAGAAAACGAGATGAAAACAAAACGGGGGGAACAGTAGCAAAAATGCTGCACTGAATCATACACCTGTTATATCCAATTCAATATGAAAATGAAATGAAATTGTCTATTTGTGAAAGGCAATTCTATTTGCTTTTAAAATTTAATACCAAGAATTATGTTAGAGTGAGGATTGACAAGGTCGGGTTAAAGCATATTAGAAATACATGAACGATAGGTCATTTGTCATTTTAATTTTATAAAAAGTACAACATATAATTTAACTAATTGATTTAACGCACTATGATTTTTAATTATCGATTCTGAGACTTTTATTGCCATTGTAAAGCTGTAATTTGTTTTTATTCATTAGATCGGGTTTACTTATTAGGAGTCGTTTATAAATGAGGAGTCTTTGACGCTGTCAGCTGTTAGACATCATCATATAAGAGTTTCATTTGGGGGGTTATAGACATCATTTGTGAACGACTCATTGTATCACCAGATTAATTTTTAACCTTGCAAGCTTGCTGGATTTACTAGTATTGTTTGACTTAAGGATCCATCAACATCACAATCTATCACATTATCTAAACAAGCACTGATTGACAGTTATCAAATATTATGTGTAATCTAGGCTTATCGGCAAATTCGATCCAATAGACACAGCATTACTAAATCAATTCTTTGTGTTTATCTTTCCATTTTTTTTTCTCTCTCTCAACATCGATGCAAATAAAGTCACACAAAAAAACTGCGCGCTGATACACTAGATATACAAGAGATAATATTAATATATTCAGTACAATTCGAGCAAAAAATTACAATTTGGATGCTCTTTTCTCTCTTTAATCTAAACAATCGTTTTGGAAATTTCAATATTTAACTTCTTTATACAATGTATAATTTTTAAATACCTAATAATCGAGTCTTATTTCATATTAACATAGTTGCAAAACATGTTAAATTTAGTTTTGAATCATTGGTTTAACTTAAGTTGTCTTATGTCTTGGTCATTCAAATTCAGATCTTAAAGGAAGTACAAGTGAAGTGTTCAGGCAGCAGCCCAAATGTTATATCAATGTAAGGGGCCGTTCACTTATTACGTTACGCAAAAAAACGACCCCCCTCCCCCCTTGTTACAATATGTTACAACTCACAACCCCCCCCCCCCCCCCCCCCCGAACGTTCATAATTTCATTTTATTTCTTTTGTATTTTTTTTCTTAAACATCAAAATACTGTACAGCTAAAAAGGTCATGTTTTGATCGATACTATTAGTATTCTCGTGAATTATTGGATTGTGATATAAAGCAAAAATTTGTTTTTTTTTGAAGAAAATTCAAAAATGTCATGAAAAATATTATACCCGATCGAATTTTGGAAAATTCAATCAACTTTGAATGTAAATATCACAATGATGGGATCATATTAATCATCATATGAATGACAGATTTAGAGAGATTTACTTTTAAACTTATGATTGATTTAATTTTGAAAATTTCCACAAATTATGATTGTATTTTAAAGTCTGTTTTCTGTTGATTTGTTACTTTATATAACAAAAACTATGTATTGCTTAGCTATCAAAAGTGATCTGGACATTCATAAATCATTAAAAAAGGTGAAAAATTTAAAAAAATGTTTTTGGTGTGAATTTGTTTTTCTTCTTGACACCCCCCCCCCCCCCTATGTTACATTTTGTTACAATTTTTCAAACCCCCTCCCCCCTAAAGTGCGAACGTAATAAGTGAACGGCCCCTAATGAACCTAGCCAAAAATTGTGAGTCACGAATAGAGAAATAAAATTGGTTTATCTAGAACAGCGAAAAGGCTCCAAAACCTGTCTAGACTCAACTACTGCTGCTTCTGATTTTTCAACGATTTAATAAAAATTCACAGCGTCTGAATTCAACTCGGAACATCTCGAATGCAGAATATCAAAAATTATCACTCGAGCCAATAGCCAGCTACTTTATAATGAAACAAAAGAGTGTTTATATATACATATGAAGCTTTTGGGGACATTCAATTATGACGTCGACATATTAGGTTAAGGTCTGAAATTTTAAGAACTTCCTTAAAAAGGCAATCAAAGATGTTTTGATACATACAAGGGAGTGGATTTAAAAACCCCATTTTGTAATAGAAGTACAATACGGACATACTGTTCAGTCATCCCTTTGCTTACATTTTAAAAGATAGAAGATGTTCTTGCCAAAATACACGAACAACAGAAGAAGAAAAAAATGTAACAATCCAAAAGTGTGCCTATATATATATTATTGATATGCTTGATATTTCGATTATTTTATATTTTTATCAAAATACAAATATTGCGTGACCAGTTCACAAACGTTTTGAATACTTCCGATGAAGGCAAACTTCCGAAAAATCTTAATTATGCTTGTTTTGCTTATTTCTTTTTCTTCTCACTCTCTTTAATCGTTCTTCGCTGGATGTTGTTTATATTATTTTTGGAATGTCTTAATAATAATTTGTTGATAAGAAAGAGTCACTCACCAATCGATGCTAGGCCTCAATGTTAAAATAACTCGTTGCACAAATTAAAAGGACTAACACAATAGAAACTTAAGGATAATGAAATAAATTTTCATTGAATTTTCAATTTTTCATATTTTCCTTCTTTTTCACTCGCACTCAAATTTTTTTCTTTTCTTTAATTTTTCATTTTAATCAAATTTTCTGAATAACTTTTCTTCTTTCTATTAAGCTTGCGACTATCAACTAGCTGTTAAGCTGTCTACGGATTAAAAACGAATGCAACTAAAGCTTATTTTCTTTTTTCAAAAACTAGAATTAAAATATTTTTTACTCATCGACGTCCGTCGACTGTCGATTCAATATTGCGTATAATTCTCATTATTGGTTCCCAAATGCTATTCTGATAAGGAACTGCTGATAAACAATCTCAAAGATAAGAAATCTTAAAACACGTTAAAAGTAAAGGGTTTTTTCAAATTTGAATGAAATGAAATTATTACAAAATTCAAATTTGAAACGACTGTTGAAATTTAAACTTTTAGAGAAACTGTCGCATTTCGACTACAGCTGACATGCAGCACTCACATGTTTACCATCCCTGCCTTCCTTTTTTGACAAGCAGTATTTCTAGTATAGTAATCATAACAAGGAGTCAGCTTTCAAGCATATAATTAATTATAAAGATTTCTCAGACATAAATTGATAATAAAATGCTAAAATCAGTCATATTAATTGGTGGAGATCGAAAAGGTATGAAGAATCACCTGTTATATCCACAACTTCCTTTAAAAAAACATTAATAAAAGCGAATTTTGGATTCGTGGCAAGCAATAAACAATGACTCATAAATTTCTCTTATCAGGTACACGATTTCGTCCTTTGTCATTGGACTTTCGAAAGCCTTTATTTCCAATTGGTGGGCTACCAATAATTGAGCATCATATTCAGGCATGCACGGAACTGAAAGAATTACAGGAAATATTAATAATTGGATCTTACAACTCATCTGAAATGAAGAGCTTCTTAGATGAAGTTCAAGCTAAATATAGTATTAATATTCGGTATCTTCAAGAATTTGTTGAATTGGGAACAGCAGGTGGACTGTATCACTTTAGAGACCAGATTCGACGAGGCAATCCAGAAGCATTCTTTGTTCTTAATGGTGACGTTTGTGCAGACTTTCCATTGAGGCAATTATATGAATTCCATAAAAGTAAACCAAAGGCACTAGTATCAATATTAAGCACAGAGGCTGACAGAACTGAAAGTGTCAATTATGGATGTTTAGTGACCAACAAGGTTACTGGAGAGGTCACACATTATGTCGAGAAACCAAATTCTTATGTATCTCCACTAATTAACTGCGGTGTCTATGTTCTATCAACTGACATCTTTCCAGTTATTGCTAATGTCTTTTATTCAAGAGGAGAGAATGGTGACTGGAATGGAAATGGCATAAAAGATGAAGGACATATTCAGTTGGAGCAGGAAATCTTACAGCCACTTGCAGGAACTGAAAAGCTGTACACGATTACATTAAATATGAAGTGGTCACAAGTCAAGAATGCAGCATCAGCAATTTATGCAAATCGTCAGGCATTGGAACTTCAACGCAAGCATTATCCTGAGAGATTTACATACAAGACTAATTGCACAATAATTGATAATGTTTTCATACACCCAACAGCACAAATTGACGATACTGCTGTTATTGGACCAAATGTTTCGATTGGAAAGAACGTAGTCATCGGTAAGCTTTATGTCTATATTGATATAGCTATATACATAATTTATATTTTGTTTGTCAGGTCCTGGAGTGAGAATTCGCGAGTCAATCATACTTGATTATTCAACAGTTGATAGTCATACACTGATCATTCACAGCATTATTGGACGAAACTCAAAGATTGGAAAGTGGGCGAGAATTGAAGGAACTCAAGTTGATCCAGATCCAAATAAGCCATTTGCAAAAATCAAGAATCTTCCACTGTTTAATCAAAATGGTAAATTAAATCCATCGACTGCAATAATCGGAAATGGCTGTACTGTATCTTCTGAAATCATCTTACTTAATACTATTATATTGCCCAGCAAGGAGCTTACACGTAGTTTTAAGAATGAAATCATTTTATAACTATATTACATGGCTTCAATAAACGCACTTTATTATTATTACTTCTATTCTGGATCTTACATGCTGCGTACTCTTTTCTTCTCTCGATACACGCTCATTTGTTGTACTGGAAGTTGATAAATTTCCTTAATTATAATAACTGGACTATATTATGTAATAATATTAATACTTACTGTACGGATCGAACTTAATCAGCTCTAATTTGTCGGCTAATCTTTCTCTAATTATGTTAAATCTATGTCCAGAAACTACCGAAATCATTTCGACCATAATTGCCCTGAAAGGTACATTATTATCAAATGACTGCTGGTGATTTTTGTGGATCACATAAAGTTTGTTATTTATACTCACTTGCTCTTGACTTTTTTCAACAGAATGTTAGTTAAAAACATTAGGTATTTTAATATTTTTTTATCAACAAGAATACTATTGGGGGGTCCTTGATTTAAATTTCATCGAAATTGATAAAAAGGGGGTGTGTAAATACACAAAAATTTGAATTAATTTTGACAGTTGAGGATTACTATTTTATTAGTTTAATTAATAGTCAATAATTCAATCAACAGTTACATCTGTCATTAACAATCCTTTCTCCCATAAATCAGAAACGATTGCGATTTTTCGTTCGTCATCTTCAGCAGGCAAGTCACTAACAGCAATAAAATCTGGATAGCTGTGAACTAATTTTGCTATAACTACAGTGTCGTCCTCTTCAATTTCCATAAATGTAGGCTCAAACTCGTGATATTCCTTAGAATTTTCAGTATGGAAGTAGACTCGATAAGTGTCTTCTTCCTCAACCAGTCTTAAAATGTTTGCCTTTAACAATCTTATATTTGTTTCGGCTGTTATTTCAAAAGGTAAGCTGACTTCTCCATCCTCAATCTCGACTCTCTCGCCAAATGCTGTTCTCTGTTTTTCGTGCTTAGAAATATGTGGAGGAAGTGCATCAGTTTGGAACTTTTTACTCATTTGGTCAACAGCATTATCAATATTTGCATGATCGAAGATTCGACTAAATAGCTCCTTAATATGATCTCTGACTTCATTACGATCATTAGAATCAACATCTGAATAGACTGATCCACAGACTTGATGAATATTTAGTGGCAATCCTTCACGGAATCTTGCATCTGATTCTATAGCTTGTTTTAAAGCTGCTGGAACTAAATGTTCTAATAAGTCAGCATATGAATTCTTTTGATACATTGAGACAGTGATGTGAAGTGAATGTTGGCCATCTATGGCAACACCTTGATGAATAAATCCTCTTGGAAAGTAAAGCATCTCTCCAGCTTCTAAAAGAATGTCCATAATCGGTTCACCGATTTCATCCTGTGAAAAATTAATAGACGAAGTTCTTGCCAAAAATTCATCAGCAGTTCGTGGCTCATAAATTCTCCAATGTTTTTGTCCTTCAACCTGCAGTATAAATGCTTCAATGTCGTCGTAATGAGGAGCGAATCCTTGTGAATCTTTTGGTGTTAAATATACGTTTGTTCCGACCATACAGTGGAAATACTCTTGCAGTTTAGCATTCATTTTGAAGACTGTTGGCACAAACGTTTGTGGATTTAAAAGACGTATAGAACAACCTTCATCATAGAAACTCCACAAGCTTGACGTAACTTTTCCTTCTGGATTATGAGTTTCTCTGATTCCATCACGGTAGGAAGTAATATCGACATTCTTAGTGTACTCTAAATGATTCTCTCTAATCATGTTCTGAATAGTTTGCATTGTCATTAAGCTGTGATAGTAATTTTTGTTATTTGGTCGCTTAATATGCTTAGGCTTCTTTTCCCAGTAGTTCCTGAAATGAAGTTAAGTTAATATTTAAGAGATTAAAATTTATAAGATGTGGTAAGCTGGATCTCCAATATGTTGTGAAATAGAGTCAAAGGGAAGCATAATAACAACTTTATATTATATCCAACATGATAACAGTCTTAGTTCTTGACAAACAACACTTAAAAAATAAAAATTAAGCATAACTTACTCCATGAAATCGTTGACAGACATTGGATTAATAATCCACTCAAACATTTCTTTTCCTTCCTGAATACTGTCGTGTTCCTTCTTCGTGTGCATCATCTTTGTCGGTTCTACTGCACTTCCGTTGCTACTTTGTTGAATTTTTGGCTTTTTATAACCAACATTCTTACTTGGATCAACAATTTTAATTCTTTTCACCAATTTCTTTTTATCTACAAATATAATAGTTATTTTAAGTCAACAACTATGTCTTATGCTTACTATTCATTCTTATTCTGCGTATCAACGATTTTTTAAGTCCAATAATAGCTTATTATCGTGATTTTAATGCTTAATTCAAAGAATATTGCCGAAAATATTCAAATCGATTGTTGACACATGCCAACGCCTGTTAAGAAAGAAAAGATGCTTTTCTCCGTACTTTGTCTATCAGCTCATCCTCTCCAGTTAAAGCTCTCTTACAGATAATTAAGACATAATTCATAGTTTGTTCATTTATGAAGTCTGAGATTTGGAGGGGGGGGGGGGGGTGAGTGGGTGGGGGGGGGGGGGTGTTTGTGGCACATTGTGATTTGTGACAGGGAATTGTGGGTCAGGTAATTTGTCATATCCAATTTCGCAAAAAGCAAATCATAATTTTTGGTAACCTTTGATTGGACTGATCATTAAGGAACTAGCTACCCTGTTTTTTCGTTATAAGCTAGTAGCTTAGAAAAATAAAAAAGTGATTTTTTTGGCTCACTAGTAGCTAGGGTTTGGGGATCCTGTTAACAGAAAACAGAAAAACAACTGTTTTTCGACAAAAATCTGTTAACAGAAAACAGGTCTCAAAAACAGATCTGTTTTCTGTTTTTCATTTTTACATATAATTTACAGAAAAAAAAAAATTTCTTAATTTTTTGAAGAACTTAATATATTTTTCTAGCATTCCAAATTGAAATGTATTTACTATTTTAATATTTTTTGGATGTTTAATAGGTTTGAAATCATTGTCAAATTTATGGTTAATCATTATCAGGGTGGGGGAGTATTTTGCGATTTAAATCAAAATCCCAAATAAAATTGTGATTTTTGATTTAAATCTCACATAAAAATGATTTGAAAAATGATTTTTGATTTAAATCATTTTACCCAAGTGATTTATTTTTGATATATGATTTAAATCATTTTGTATGAAAGATTTATTTGTGATTTATGATTTAAATCACATTATATGGGGATTTTTTTTGGGGATTTTAAATCACTTGAAGGTGAAAATTTGTTAAGAATTAAGAATAATCATAAATCATGGATATCCTTTCTGGTAATCAAAAAAATCTTTCATACAAAATGATTTAAATCATAAATCAAAAATAAATCACTTGGGTAAAATGATTTAAATCAAAAATCATTTTTCAAATCATTGCAAAATGATTTTGATTTATGATTTAAATTCCCACCCTGATCATTATTAATTTTGCAATCGAAATTTTAAATTTGTTGAACCTTTTGTAGCATTTACTAAAGTTCAAAAATATAATCAAAAATTTTACAACATATTTTCTTATTCAGAAAGATTTTTTGAATATTTCAAATAAAATATTAGAGTTTATGGAACTTTTACAAAGCAACAATGCAATGTTACTTAAAAGTATAAATTATTTTTTTGCATTTTTATATTTCATTATATTTTTTTGAGTTAATTAACAAAAAAAATAAGAAATAATAATGCTAAGCTCTAAAATGTATGCTTAACTGCTTATAACCACCAAAAAGTTTCATTATCTTAGAGAAACACTAAGGATAACTCAACTTATATTGAATTCTAGAAAAACAGGAAAACAGCTGTTTTTAAAAATCAAAAACAGAAAACAGACTGTTTTTCAAAAACAGCTGTTTTCCACAAACCCTACTAGTAGCTTAGTAACGAGTAGTAGCTTAGTAAAGAAATTGAACTTCAATTAAAATTTTGAATTTTTTAACTTAATTAAAGAAATTTTGCTATCTTCCCGATTTTATTTCATTGACAATGTCATAAGACATTGAAACTGATACTTAAAAAGTTGAAAAAAATTAATTAAACTATATTTTTGGTAGTAGCTTAGTAAAGATTACAAAAAATTTTCAAGTTCAAAAAACTTTACTAAGCTAGTAGCTTAGTAACGAGTAGTAGCTTATAACGAAAAAACAGGGTAGTAACATAAAAAGAGGACACTGAATGATAATCCTCATCATTTGATAAAAATGAAATTCTTTAACATTTGAATGGACTTTAGGGTAATTCCATGAGTAATGAGAACTGTGAAAAAGCACTATACAATATTTCTCTACTTGTAAAAATTCAAATTTCCCAAAACCGTTATAATTTCTCAACGTTTTGTTGTTTATACAAGTGAATTAGCCGCAATATCATCAAAAAGAGATGGTTCAAATATATATGATCTTTAATGTTTTAAAACTTTAGTTACTTGTTCAATTAAATCAAATAAATCTAATCAACTTACAAGTAAAATCAAAAAAATCTAACGGTTTTTGTGAATTTGAAATTTTTTCAGTGTTCTGTTTTGCAATAATCGGTCAAAAATTGACCGATTAATGCTAGTTTTTTTGGTTTTTCTTCTTAATTACAGCATTAAGGAATGCAAATTATACATAAAACAAAAGCCTGGCTAATATCTAATATGTTAAAAGTAACTTTGGAACATAGAAGTGTGTATTTAAGTAAATATTAGGAAATGTTTAGAAAACGATTTTTCGAAAACTTGACCGATTAATTTTACTTTTATTAAAAAAACAAAAATTAGACATATTTCTGATGTGAAATTCTCACATATGGAGATAAATATTGTGTTAATAAACATAATGAAGTTACAATTTGGAGTACAAAGTTCTTAGTTAAGGAAATATTTTTGAAAAAATAGTGCACCAAAATTTTTTTCACTCATGGAATTACTCTTTAGCAATTGCCGGGAATAGAAATATGCACTTCTGTCGGTTCCGAGTGACCACGTCTATACTAGTTCTTATAGTCACTGCCGCTCAGCCGAATTTATTGTTTTGATCTTCTTGATGTTTCCTTATGTTTATCTAGCTCTCTTATAAGAACAGCCAGGCATTGAATGATGATTTAATAGACTTAATTGGTAGATGTGAAGGATGTGTCACAAACTAATCCAGTTTTATTAACTGCAAGCCATTAGTTTCAATATATATCTATTACCATCCTGAAACAACAGTAGGAAAGTACTCGGACAGACAGACAAAAAGTCGCACATGCATATAGATTTTCCCATGCTGGGAAATGCGCTAAAATTTTTTGTGCAAAAAAAAAAACGATAAAATATCGCAGAGATTTTAGTTGCATAACTTTTTTCGAATAGAAACGAACAGATAAGCAGTCAGTAAGTTTGAAGTGTGCCGTGAACGATAATAAGTGCTGTGGACATAAAATTCGTGTAAATTTGTGCAAATCAACGAGAAAAAATGGCATTTTTTCGAAGCTTTGGAAAATTTGGATCAAATTCAATGAAAATTCTCTTGATTAACAAAAATGGATATTTTAACTCGAAATTTCTATCATCGTCCACAAGAATCATGTCTGCAGCGTCACCAACCTCACAGCTAAATGCCAATTCTCCGCAATCTCAAAAAATTGGAAAACGAGATCCATTAGATACTTCATTTGATAATCATATTGATGCATTTAAGTCAAAAACTACGGTCGAATTAATTCGAGCATATTTGGTCTATGTTCTATGCTCATCTGAATATCTTGTCGAGAATAATATGAAGGTAATTAGCTGCTCAAATATTTAATTAAATTAACAAATCACATAATACACCTAGAGAGTAAGAAGTAAAAAGATACAGTAAGAGACTCAAAAAACATTAAATTTTGACATTTGTGGTTGTAACGTGCAGTAATTAATTTTTTCGGTGGGTCATAAAGCAATTTCTATCGTAAAAAATTATCAAAATTCCCGATATCGAATGATTATTATCGATGGAACTGTGATAGTAAAAAAATATCGATTTTTCTTTCGTTCTGTCTTCTTGTTTTTTCCTTCACGCAATCCATACTTCATACCATTGTTCAAGCAAGCAACATTCTCCTACGTTACGAGGAAAAACATGTTGAGGGCAGGGGCGTAGCCAGAAAATTTTTAAGGGGGGGGCCCATTTTCGAAAATTAAAAAAACTGTTATTTTGTATCCTTAAATCTATATTCATTCTTCATAAGTTTAAATATTTAATTCATTATTCATACATTAAATTTAATTTTTCGTGCTGATTTTGACATTTCTTTCATCACTTTCTCTACATTAACTGGTTCTTCTCTATAAATACTTAATAAAACAGTTATCAGATTTTCGTAGGGGGGGCCCGGGCCCCCTATGGCCCCCCCCTGGCTACGCCCCTGGTTGAGGGGTATGGATAGGGGTACAATTGACGTCCTTAGGATTTTTAAACCCCCTCCCCCCTGTCTGTTTTGTATCACACATAATGTCCTAGACTTAAGCTCTGCCTAAAACTTTGACGTCATTTACGAAATACTTCAAAAAAATTGCAAAGAAAAATTTTATGAGAATGTGCCAAAAAAAAATTAATTAAGATCGTTTTAAGCTCGTCAGAAAAAAACTATACGAGATATTTGCATAGAGTTACGTGTTCTCTAGTTGAAACAGAAGACAGTGTCTGTTCTATAGACTTGTAATGCGCATTCTAACATAATCTTGAATGGTGGCTTAAGTTATGTAAGGAAGTGTCATAGAGTGGGATTGATATCTGTCATATGTGAACGACCCATGAAATAGTATACTTAATCGTAGCTTGTGCACATCTGTTTGGCTCTGATTTAGTATATGTCAACAAGTTGTAGAATTGTTAACTAGCAGTTTATAGAATTTTGACCCGTAGTTTACAATCCAAGCAAAGCAGTTTGTTGAAAGAAATTATCATTCCTAGAACGTTATGTAAATAGCAATTAAAAAGTTCTCGTTGTCTAGTCGGGGCTGTTTATGTATGATATCTTTATACTGTTATGACTGTCTCAAATTGTTTGTTGAACTTCATCGGACTCCCGTCACTTGTGAAAAGTCTCTATGGGAACCTCCGACAAATTAATACTAATTAATGATAAATTCTGCTAATAAGAAATAGCTATTCTCGTGAGTTTTATGATTAGCGCCTAAAGCAACTTTCATGTATATAGTAGATTCATCACTTTTACTGCCTCAATATTTGCTCTTGTCATCACGTGTGCTAATACTTTATTCATTTTATTTGCAGATAATGAAGTTAATGAACAGCATTTTAGGCGATAAGGTTTTCAACATGTTAATGAAATCGACATTTTATGGACACTTTGTTGCGGGCGAAGATCAAGTGAAAATTGTTCCATGTCTTGAGAGGTAATAAGAAGTCATTGCGCAATATTACACTTAAAACTTATGTTACGTCTTGTCAAGCGCCGTTGTTTCAGCGCTGAAAGATTATTTTTGGCAAACAAAGTTGACATATACTGTTTATTACGCTAAATTATCTTTTTGAAAAAATATTTCGCTTGTCTGTGACTTAAACTACCCAATGCCTTATATTTTAATTTAAATTGTGTAATATTTTATTTGTCAATTTTATGCACTGATAAATTAAATTTATATCTGTGTTTTTACAGATTACGGTCGTTTGGTGTCAAGCCAATCTTGGATTATTCAGTCGAAGAGGATTTATCACAGGTTTTTATCGATTAATTTGACACATTTATCTAGGATTCGTTCATAAATGACGTTAAGCTTGGATTTAAACCAGACATCATTTGTGAACGACCCCTAATTGTCAAATAAATGTTTAATCAATAAGTATCCAAACATATAGGAAGAAGCAGAAGAACGCGAAGTAACAGCGGCAACACCATTGGCAGCACCAAATCCATCAGATCCAAGCCATTTACCACAATATGTCGTTGACAAAACATTCGCTGACCGACGTTACAAAGTACTCGGTGCACGAACATATTTTTACTTGAATGAAGCAACATGTGAACGAAACATGGAAATTTTTATTAAATGTTTAGAAGCTGTTAAGTATAGCTCTTTTGGTACTGGAATAACAGCAATTAAATTAACTGCCCTTGGACGTCCTAATTTGCTTTTGCAAATATCTGAAGTCATTCAACGAACACGTCAATATATGCGAGACATTGCTGGAGGAACTGGAAATGTTTTGACTCATCATAAGACAATTAAGGATTTGGAAAAATATTTTGGAAAATTGGGTGATCAAAAGGATGTAAAGGAGTTTCTCGAACGAATGACTACTGATAAAGAAGGGTAATAGCTTTATTGACATTTGTATGCTTAATTGTGTATTAGTACTTTCGTTTTATCTTGCTGACTGACCGACTGATGATGATGATTTATTCTTTTTCCTTCAATGAAAAGCGTAGGGTATTTACAAAACTGTCCCCAAATTTTTACTTTGTTCCTTGCTAGCTATAGACGCTAATTCACTGAACTTTCTTTTTTTTTGGTCACCATCTTTAACTAGCTGCACATCTTTTCTTAGGAAAACCTTTTCGGACTGACTTTAGTGCGCTTTAACTTTTCGCTTTGTAGATACATGCTGATGTTACTGAATATCAGCCATAAAACTGTTTAATCAATAAACTTTTCTTCTTTCATTGATAGAATTTTGCATCTTTTCCCATGGTCGGGTATTGTGAATGAAGAATGTCAGCTGTCTGATACTTTTAGAGTACCTGATCCAAAAACTGGACAAATGCGTCGATTAACATCACAAATTCAACCCAAAGAGGAAGAAATGTTTCGAAATATGATCAGACGATTGAACAACATTGTTAAAGTATGAACTGCTCTATTCGAATCGCTCACAAATGACGTCACTTGAAAATCTCAAAAACTTTAACCCATACGTATGCATCCAAATAAGTGACATCATTTGTGAACAACCCCAAAGCTATAAAACTGACGGAATTATGCAAATATTTTTAATGTGATTCATGTTATAGATTGCAGAAGAACTTGACGTTAGGATTATGATTGATGCGGAACAAACATACTTTCAACCTGCCATTTCGCGTATCACGTTGGAAATGATGAGAAAATACAACACAAAAAAAGCAATTGTTTTCAATACGTATCAGTGCTACTTGAAGGAAGCTTATCAAGAAGTATAAAACATTCTAATATCCTTAATCCGTTCCTTTATCGCTATTTTAATCATTTTTAATTCTTAGGTCGTTACTGATCTCGAGCAAGCATCACGTCAGAACTTTTATTTCGGTGCAAAACTTGTACGAGGAGCTTATATGGATCAGGAACGAGCTCGTGCTGATGCATTAGGATATGAAGATCCAATTAATGCTAATTATGAAGCCACAACTGAAATGTATCACAAAACATTGACTGAATGCTTAAGGAGAATTAAACACTTGAAGAATGCTGGAGCAGATCCAAAGAAAATAGCTATTATGGTCGCCAGTCACAACGAAGACACAGTTCGATTTGCAATTGAAAAAATGAAGGAAATTGGAATTTCCCCAGAAGATAAAGTCATTTGCTTTGGACAATTGCTTGGAATGTGTGATTACATAACAATGCCATTAGGTAAACTTCTTATCTTATCTATAATTTAACTTCAAGGTTTATGGCCATGATAATGAAATTAATTTTTATTTTTTTTTTTGCAATATCAATGTAGGTCAAGCTGGGTATTCAGCATACAAGTACATTCCTTATGGCCCAGTCAAGGAAGTTTTACCATATTTATCGCGACGAGCACAAGAAAATAAGGGTGTATTAAAGAAAATTCAGAAGGAAAAGAGATTATTAAAGACCGAAATTTTTAGACGACTTTCTCGTGGACAGTTATTTTACAAACCAAAGGGAGATTATGTTCCAATTTAAATTAAATCCAAAAGTGAAAGAAATAGAGTATTAGAATCTCACATTTATATATTTAATCATTGTGAATGTCATAATACAGATGATTTTAATTCAAGTTTACCTATATACCCAGAAAAAAAGAAGAAGGAAAACAACAAGAGTACTCTGAGAAATCCATAGTATTTAAAAAACATAATTCGTTAACAATAATAATACCAAAGTAAATTTGATCAAGTGTTCAGCTGTCTATTTATAATTCGACCTTTTTATTGTTCCATGAAACTTGATTCAAGTCGATGATATTTTCTGTCTCCTGTCTAACTGCTTCCATTTTTTATTATTATTATTTAAGCTTTTATATTATTCTTTTCTTATTTTTTTACAACTTTAACTTTTTGTTAGTGTATTCTTTATAAAGCTGCAACACTTTTGTTGCAATATACATAGGAGTGACATCTTCACTGAATGTCTTTAAATAAAAGCCCATAAAAACTCTAAAATCCAGTGTAACCAGAACAAACCACATCCTGTAAATTAGAATTCGTAGAAGATTGAATAAATGTTCTGTACAACTTGCGGTAATCAGCTTGAATCCTCGTCATTTGCGAGGGGCTCAGGCTCTAACATAGCATTATCCATGATTGACCGTAAACAATATTGAAGTGTTCTAAACCATAATCGTTATTACTAGCTTCATATGATTCATACGGATATAAAGAGGATGGATTTTAAGGAGCACAAAAAGGTTTTGTTTGAGGATACTATAAATCACTTCTTAAACCATGATAAATTTTCATTAAGTTTATATAACTCGTTGTTCACTTTGGGGTCGGTCATATATTATGCCAGTTCTTAAATGACGTCATTTGTGGCCGACTCCATAGATGTCATGCCTATGTCCTTTATATAATACTTTGAGCATTTTCTTCACGTTTTTATCAAAAGGAACATGTGTTTATGAATAGCCAAAAATACTTCTTTATTCATAAAAACCCCTAAACTTTTGACACACTTTTGCATACCTTTCCACCAATTTTATTGATTTAAATCGGTAACGAATGTAGCATATATTAAAATGATAATATATAAATACGATATTGGTCAATTGCATTTTAACTTTCCTTAAATTAAATTACATGATAATAAAATTAATGTGACAAAAAACCATTGGTGATGTACTTAAATGTTTCAAGATGAAAGAATATAAGAATTCAAAGAACTAGATTAATCTTTAGAGTTTAAGTATTAAGAAGAAAATTATTAAAAAAAAATCACGCGCTCTTTTGTTGTGGATGAGCTCGAAGAATCCTTAAAAATAGTCATTTATATTGCTGATAAAAGACTCAAAAAAATGTTATTGTTAATGCTTGATGAATAGTAGTACTATTTTACTAGAAAATTGATTCTTAATATCGCTTGTCTACAAAAAAGATCTCAAAAAACAAATCAGCCAATTTATGTAAACGACAAGCGATGTTGAGAATCGAAAAATATTGTATTTTAATTTGTCATTTATAATTTACAATTCTCGCTTTTTGAGAAAAAATTGCAATTGAGTTTATAATTATAAAAATTAATCCATTGATTCTTTACTGCCTGCTTTACGATTATCAGGGTTTACGGATTGAGATTGTGTCTTAACTGTTCTTGGCACCGTTTTTAAAATTTGAATCTAAAATCCAAATTTTATAGCAAAATGATTTTTGGATAGTTTCTTTTTATAGCAAATTGTGTCTTGAGTAAGTTGACAACCCCCTGATAAAAAGATCACATTTAAAAATCAAAAATGCGTTATAATTTAATTTTTAAAAATCATGATAAATTTCTGTTCAAAATTGGATTACAACTTATTTTTTACGTATAATTGGAAATGTATTTTCGGAATGTAACCATTTTCAGTGTTAAGACATAGAAATGAATATTATTTGTTTAATGGACACTTAGAAAACAGAAAAAGTGATTCTGAATTGTGAAATTTAATTTTGACGATGAAGACATTATCGGACAATAACTCTAATTGTACGTTTAAACTGAAATAAATAATGAGAACCAATAAAGAAAGCTTTGTTATTTTACTTATCATTTTTAATTTGTTTCAAGTGTGTTGAAAGGTAATTGTTATTTTTAATTGAAAATTCTTCAAACATTTATTTGAAGTTTGTCAATAAAGTAAGTGCTACGTAGGAGATGTAACAAAAGGTGATTATTGATAAGCATTTCAACGTAAAAGGTGAATTATTTAGTACGCTTGTTATTAAAATCCAAAATTTACAATTTTTCAATTTGTTTTATTTAAAGCAAGGCTCCCTCAGATTATAATCTTTTAAAAACGAAGATTATAATCTACAAAACAGGAAAAAGTTATAATCTTTAATAATCCTTCATACAAAGATTATTGAAGATTATAATCTTTGTATGGGACTATTTAAAGATTATAATCTGCGGAAGCAAATTAATGCTTGAGTATGCATTGCAATCGGAAAAAATATACATTGCAAAAAAAACTGAAAGTGAAATGTATTACTCTATTCTTTATAAAAATTCTTACTTATTCTTAAAATGTTTACTTAAATCTTCAAAGTAAACTTCTGTCCATCGCACATTATGCATTAAGTATGTGGGCAATTCTCCAGATAAGTTTTTCAAAAAATCATCCGGAGAATCAAATTTTCTCGGAAATTTTCCATTACCAAGCATAACTTTTACATTTAAATCGATCTAAAATGGCAAAAACTATTATATTTTATCTATTTAAGTCTTTGAAAGTAGCCAATAATTAAGTTTTTTCAATTTTTTTTGCAAATTACTGTCAGCAAAAAATGGAATAATCATCCGGAGAATCGAAAATTGAAGAAAAGTAAACACTCATTTTTTATTATGATTATGCAGAAATGTAGTTTTTGAGCTAATCTATCTTACCATAATCATATCACACTCCAATAATTACTATTTAAAGAGAATTTTTGATTCTTCGGTGGATTTTTTTGCTGACAGTAAAAAAATTAAGCTTTTATTTTGCAAATCCATGAAAAAAATGCAAAGCAAATATTTCATAGAAATTAAATTTTAGTCTTAATTTAACACTTCATGGTTGAATTATTGTTGATTCAGTAAGAATCAATCGTAATAAACAGTTTAAAGTTGCTTTAAGCAATCAAAACAAAGAAATTGACAAGATATTAACAAAAAAAAAAATTGAAAGTAAACAGTAAATGACTTTGGATTATAAAAGCACTTTTTTCAAAAACTCAACTCATCTGGAGAATTGCCCATGTGTGTATTCACAAAAAGTAACTACTCAGAGAGAGAAAGCTACACCCTCAAAAAAGCTCGTTCCACAAATTCTTTAAAACTCCCTCAATAATGTATCAAGTACATCAAACAATGTTTATGTACTCAATTCACTTTACTTTTTGTTTGTCTAATGTATCGAGGTTTAAGTGCTGTGAGAGAAATTTACACATCCTCTCAGAGAGCTTTTGTTGTATAAACAGAAATATGTCATGCTGAGAAAATAATTAAAATTGAGCATTATAACTTATTATTAGAAGTTAAAGTTCATTTTTTTCCCAATTGGATTTTGAGAGCTATTTATGACTCGATTCTTATCAGAAAATGTTTAGGGATTGAAGTTTGAATATTGAGCATATTGTAATCAAGAAAGTCAAGCAATCTTGTATTAATTATCTCCAAAGTGATATTCACGCGTCAATCAAAACTTGATTTGAGACAAAAACATGGAACATTGACAACATACGCACAATAATAATAATAATTTCCACACACAGTTAAGCATGAAAAAGTAATTTTTGAGCATGAGAACAAAAACTCTCTCAAATAAGCCAATATTTATACTCGATTCAAGACATTTTTTCGTTCATTCAGTCAGTCTTTTCCTCTCTGATTGAGACGACGAGAAAAGTAAAATCGCATTTCATTACACAATCAATAATTTTTTCACGGTCAAGGGAGTTAAAAAAGTAATTTTTTATTCAATTCTAAAAGTTATAGAGCCTCAATGAGATCACCTTTTATAACAACAGTGCTAATCTCGAAATATTTGTATTGATTTCTAAGTGTTTTAAGCATCTCTTTTCCTTGAATTTTAGATGAAAAAGTGAAAAAAGCGTTTTAAAAATAGAAAGAAAAATCAAATAAAAAAGAATTTTTCCGCTCTCTAGCTCTAGTGCGAAAGATTAAAGGTAATTTTTCAATACTTTTTGGACTTGATTAATGCCATTCTATAAGATTATCAAGTCTACAGCACGCAAACTTTTCTTAAAATTTGTCATGCGACTCAAATTTCAATTTTTATTTGCCTAAACTTTATTTAAAATCTCTGAACCTATAAACCAAGAATCTATGACTAAGTGCTAATTAAAATCTATGTGCCAACATCCATTACTCATAAATTAATCAATCGCTCACGGCAGAAATTGATCATCAAAACACATTCTTTTGATTGAATTAATTTTTTCAATGCTAAATGTGGAGATGACGTGAACTTTATTGCGACTTTGCTGAGTAGACTCGAAACTATAAAGACGAAAGAAAAAAGAAGAAGAAGCACAAAACATAAAACGTTGTAGTTTTCATCAATTTGAGTGTATTTATTTACCTACAAGCCGGCATACGAAGCCAACGACTTGTGTTAAAATATAATAATAATAAGCGTTGAGACAAAAATATAAAGGTTCAACGAAGTGTTTATATACAATTAGACAGCCGGCATTTTTAGCTGGTGAGGTAATCAAAAGTTACAAAGTGACTTCATCATCATATGCAAGAATTTTTTATTACTTCTGCATACACAGAAAGAAAAACGTTTGTGATGACTTAATAGCGATAATTATAGGAAATTACTTGCTTATTAGTTTACATTATTGCCAGCTCAGGCATGCTCAATAGACGAATAAAGCTTTAGATTATTAAACATATTTTATGCGTGAAAAGTCAATTCATTGCTGTTTGATGTCATAGCGTCGTCATTTTTGCAGCAATATGGCCACTTCAATAAGTTTAGGGTTGAAATTTGCTTGTTGCTTCTAGCTAGGACTGAACATCCCACAATATTTTCTATCTTCTTCAATAACAAATCCTTCTCGGAAAGGTTAAGATCAAAAAACTTTCCTTAACTGCTTAAAAAGCTCTTAAAATTAAATTAGAAACAGAATAAAGCACTTAGTATTCCCCATTCGATACTCAAAAGAAAATCACTAAGTGCTTAAAGACGGCAAAAATCTTCTTTTTTGTCAATTCGTTTAAAAATTTTATATTCACACCGTTTTCACGTGTGAATCTATTGGTTTTGTTCAGATTGAAAAATCAGTTTTTAGAATTTTGTGAGGATATGGAGCAAGATAGCTTAAAATGTTCAGAGATGAAAAGTTTGTGCCTGAAATTTCACATCTTTTGCAAGAAACAGATTTCAAATTGGTTGCGGCATTGCTGAAAAATCGCAAAATATGCTTTCTGTAAGCAAGCAAACAAGCAAGTTAATCAGCAAGAAATCTCAATAACGAGACATCGTAGAGACTTCTAGTTTTTTACATTTGATCCGTGCTGCTGTATAGAAGAGCTGTATTGTTTTTGGGCAAGGTAGGAACAGCCGTTGCTTCAGAAAAAGCAAAAAACTTTCCTTTCTTACGAATTTTTCAAATTAAAAGTTCACTGTGATTTTTTTTTAAATTAAACTTTGGATGAAAAAAATTTTTTGAGCAAAGAACCAAGTAGGAAATACATTTTCAAATTTGGACTAGGGGTGACCCTAGTCAAAATCAATTTTGTCACTTTTTTCTTCGAGGGTTTTTCAAAAAGGAATGAAACTTTGCATAAATATTCTAGTGCTTAAAACAAAAACAAATAAAACATCTTAAAATTTTTTTGAGCAAAGAACCAAGAAGGAAATACATTTTCAATTATGAACTTGGGACAGGTCTAGTCAAAATCTAGTTTTTCCCTTTTTTTCCTCGAAGGTTTATCCAATTACAATTACGAAGGTTTATTTGTATTTGTTTTAGGCATTAGAATATTTATGAAAATTTTCAATCCATTTGGATAAACCCTCGAAGAAAAAAGTGACAAAATTGATTTTGACTAGACCTGTCCCAAGTTCATAATTGAAAATGTATTTCCTACTTGGTTCTTTGGTCAAAAAAATTTTTTGGATATTTTATTTGAATTGACATAATTCTGACATAAATCACATACCAATATTACTTTTTGTAATGCATTGCTTAAAAAAAATCGAAATCTAAAATTTCGACTACCCCATCTGAATTTTGTTCATACTCTTCACTGTGGAAACCAAAAAACAAATTCTTTATCTTAAAACACTTGACAAAATAGCGACATAATTCAGGATTAATTACTTTTTAATAACATTTTAACATTAACGAGAAAATGTGGTTCAAATAAGTGTGAAGTATGGCCGAGATTTGGACCAAAATCAGCTATACTGGTTCATGGTGTTCCCGAGGGTGACAAAATTCAAACTAAGTGTTTTTGTAGCTGACATAATTATGACATAAATTAGCTATAACTTTTGAACTGTGTCGATATGAGTCTCGGGTACTTCACGCCCACACTTCAAACTTTTGCTGAGCAAATCTTGGTCTATCCATAAGACTTTTGATGGTACGGTGTGAATATATCCGCATTGGGTTTCTACCCGATACACTAGTTTTTTTCTTGTGAAAAATAATTTTAAAAGGCAAATTAACTCATATCTTGACAGATTTCAATTTTACGAAATGGTAGATTCAAATTAATGACAAATAGTATTTCTGAGGAAATTGTCGTGTTTATTAAATTCGTATGTAAATCTTAAATCAAAAGAACAACAAATTTTTGTTTTCTACAAAAAAGAATTATGAAAACTTGTTGTAACTACTTTGAGATTTTAGATCATGAAAATCAATTGATTTCCAAAATTATAACTCTTGGCTCTATTCAGAGTTTACTCAGCAAAAGTTTTCTAGATATTATTAATTATATTTTAAATGCTTAACCAAAATTCGTTTGAACTAGAATACTTGCTGCTCATTTTGCTATATGTCATAGCTTTAGAGAGGCTTTTAGATTTAAATTTCTTCCAACATAACAACTCTTTTTTGTTGCAGAAGCAGACAGTCTGCTTCATATTTTATTCACGTCCTAAATATGCCATTCCTTCTTTTTTTTCCGATTTTCTTTTTGTTGTTCTTCAAATTGATTTTTCATTTTTTTTAGCAGATAAACTGGAACTTTTTTTTTTGTTGTTCTTTAAATGTCTAATTTTTCTTTTTTTTTAACTTTTACAAACTTTAACATAAACATAAATCACACACATAAACTATACATACATATATTTTTTCAGTTGAAGGAAATAATTTGCTGTAGTGACACTTGCACAAGTGGATAGTGAATAATAATTGTGAAGGGAGTGATTATCAAGAGAAAGAATCATGAGGTTTGTGCAGGAAATTGAATGAATTTCCCCAATAAATTTCCCAGATTATTTCTCTTTCTTTCCTGTTTCTATGCTTCACATTTTAATTCATTTATAAACTTTCTCAAGCTATTAACATGTCAGCGGTTGATTTCGCGAGTATATCCTAGTATATACCATACTGCTAGGGTTAAGATGTACTCGAGAAATCGACCGTAGAGGTCGTTCACTAATGAAGTCTAAAAAGAAGGTTAGATAATAATTGTGAACGGCTCATGCATCTGGTTCTATAATTCTTCCGATGAGAACATTTTAATCGACACTGTGGTTAGAGCAACCACAAAGAAATTGCACATAAATCCGATATGCTTTTAATCTCTTTAAAATTTAATGTAAACATTCATTCATGTATATAGCTACGTGCGTACACGTTTATATGACTAACCACTTACTTTATAGCCTACTAAATGTTTCATCGATTTTTCTTTTTTTTTGTAGTGAAACGGATTCACTTTTGCCAAAAGACTCGCCTAAAACTGAGGTTGTGGACAAAGGTGTTGATGAAACTGATTCTAAAATGTCAAATAGCAAGGTATTGACACCTGAAAAGGCTGATATTGAGTCACATAGCGATGGAGGTATTGTATCAATCATATATTCAGCTGCAAAGAAGGCTGCATTCGTCGGAATAATTTATTTTGTGGGAAAAATGGATTGGTCCTTTGCGTGGCTCATCTGTCCAATATTATTGAGCGTCATTAGAGACCAAATCCGTAATCAACATAATATACGCAGAGAAGTTGCTAAAGCTAGTGCTCTTGCAAATGATAAGGATGTTATTCTCGCAAGACTTAATGATTTACCAGCATGGGTAAGAAACTTGTTGCTTTTAATCGTTTGAATTAATAATGAATGTGGATATGCTTTTTGTTGCAGGTATTTTTCCCCGATGTAGAACGCTGTGAGTGGCTTAATAGAATATTGAAGCAAGTATGGCCAAATGCTAATCATTTTGCACGAAACATGCTTAAGGAAAGTATTGAGCCTAATATCCAAAAAGCTCTCCAAGATTACAAACTTAATGGATTCAAGTTTGAGCGCATGATTTTAGGAACCATCGTAAGTCCTAAATTAGATCCAAATTTAACTGACTTAATTTGCATAATTTTTATTTCCATAGCCACCACGAATTGGTGGAATTAAAGTCTACGATAAAAATGTAGCTCGTAATGAAATCATTATGGATTTAGACTTATTCTATGCTGGTGATTGTGATATCAATTTTGCAATCGGTGGATTACGTGGAGGCATTAAAGACTTCCAAATTCATGGGACAGTTCGTGTCGTTATGAAGCCTCTTATTCCAAATCCTCCATTAGTCGGTGGCTTACAAATCTTTTTCCTTAACAATCCAAACATTGACTTTAATCTCGTTGGTGTGATTGATCTTCTTGATATGCCTGGTTTGAGCGACATTTTACGTAGAATTATTATTGAACAAGTTGCAGCTATGATGGTATTGCCTAATAAACTACCTATCATCTTAAGTGATCAAATTGAAGCACTTTCATTGAAAATGCCTGAGCCTGAAGGAGTTTTAAGAGTTCATGTTGTAGAAGCAAAGAACTTGATGAAGATGGACATCGGTATGCTTGGAAAAGGAAAGTCAGATCCATACGCTATTGTTACAGTCGGTGCTCAGCAATTCCGCACTCAAGTGAGTCATCATGCATATAATTGAATTTATTATGACTCATTGCGTATTTCCTACAGATTATTGATAACAACGTTAATCCAAAATGGGACTACTGGTGCGAGGTAAGATCTAATCTAATTTCAACATCCAAAATTTCATATCATATACATGAACATTCTAAATTCATTAAAAATTTAACTCCTAAATTATTCATTCTATAAAAAAATATATATATTCCCTATCCCATATTTCAACTTCAAGTATGCCTGAAAAATATCCTCTAGTCCACTTTTTAAGTTATTTATTCAACTTTTTTATTAATTCATATATTTATTCTCGAATCGCATGCTCTTTTAAGTATATGCCTTTTCATGCGAGCAAATGATGTTATCATCAAGTCAACATTTTTTTTTATTTATTTATCTCTATGACATGACTGTGATATAAAACAATTAGATTCGTCTCTATTATATTTACCATCATTTATTGAATGAATAATATAGTATTGTTATGCATCAATCAAATTACTTGACACTCATTTTGAAAAAATAGCTACACCTCGAAATCATTGCACATCATGTTTATGATACATATTTACTCTTTCATGATAAACAATACCCGCGGTAAAGTCAAATATCTCCTGTTTATGACAGATCAATTTAAAATGTCTTTAGGAAATTGATATGCCAATACTGCAGGGAAATTAGCAATAAAAAAAATAGAACCGTGCCTTCAAGAAGAAAATGTTTTGTTTAATTAGGAACTTGAAACCGACATTTGGGAGGGGTAGTTCAAATATTTTTGAGAAAATATAAAATTAAGCTTTAGGGTTTGGAATAAATAATCAAAAGAAATTTGTAAATTTCTAAGAATCATAGGATCGGATGTGTTCCACATTATAATAAGCTGTATTTATGCTACAAACAGCCAACTTAACTGTTGAATCTTTGTGATTGAATGATACAAGATCTCATCGTTTCAGGTTTTCCTTAATGATTAAGACTGACTAAATAGTGTACAACGACTGTTGACACGAAAACCTTTTCTACTTCAACCATCCAAGATCTTATTCGAATATATCTAATATCTGTCCGTGGTAAATCATCGAAATTTTTGAATTCGAATGCAATTTCCATCGATTATTGATCTAGGCTATAATAAATAATTGATACAACCTAAGTCATACCCAACATTTTGTCTTAAATTTTTAATGAACATCTTTATGCCTTCCTTATAATATAACTGATATGGACCATGTTTAAGATTGATATTCTTTGAGAAAATATTAGAGACCACTTAGATACGATTTTGGTTGCATAGGAAGATGCCAAGTTATTTTACAATGTGGGTGTCAGGTGGGGGGAGGAGGGTGGTATATTTTATAAAGCCATTTACATGGTTTTTGTGGGATTAAGGGGGTCCACGCTTGAGAGGTTTTTTAAAGCCAAATTAGGTTTTTATGCGTCTTACAGTTATTTACAAAATAGTAATCAAATTTAAACCCTCATGACGCCCCCGAATAGCCTAGTTTCATAATAAAAGCTACTACGAAATATAATTGATTGCTTTTAAATTGAATTCGATTTAAGTGGCTGTATTATGTTATCATCAAAAAAACGACTTATTAAATTACCAATTGTTTGATAAACTTGAGCCCATTCATAATTTTGTTATCAGCGATTCCTTCGCAAACATAATATTTTGATTGATAATAATTACTTAAGATAGTGTAAAGTAAATCCATGTTATCAGTATTGGCAATTATTATTATCGCTTATCGATCATTGATAAATCAAAAATCACATCAAATTCATTGGACAATTCATAAGATTCATAATTTAAAATTATTAATTAAATTTAATGAAAGATTTCTATACATATGCAATGACAATTATGATACATAAGTAACTAAGCTAGTTAATGTTATGCTTATGAAAGAAAGATATTTTTTTTTGTTAAAAAATAAATTTAAACCCAACACATCAGGCAAATGTTTATGCTGAGAGTGGCCAAACTCTTACTGTGCAGCTGTATGATAAAGATGACGCTAAGGAAGATGAAAGGCTTGGAATGTACGTATATAAAATTAGATCAGCAACAAGACAAAAAAAAATTGATGCAAACTATAAATATGCATGAAAATGAATCACAAGTTGATATAAATTGGATATTTATTGGCAGTGAATTGTGAATTGTCTGTAGGTCAGCAAAAACTAAATTCAAAATTTGAAATTTTCAGGGAAGTCATCTATTAGTATGGACTGTACCTAACCTTCCCTGCATCCATAAAAGCTTGTTATTTGTTCAATGCTAAAAACTCATACCATGCTAAGTTATGCATGATCAAGAAGCAAACATCCTAATCTAAGATTTGCATGATTAAGGAGGGTCTGTTGGCAGTCGCACACCCTCCAAAATAAGAAGCATAAAGCCACTCAAATATTCACAATCTGCTGCCAAGTAAATCTTTGACCGACTAAAATAATTAAGTTACATGTGATTCAATAATGTATTGGTGAAGGTAGGATGTAGAAGCTCATGCTTGAAGTGATGTAACATAACGAAAAAAAAAAGAAATATATATGAAAAGGACTACACAATACTCTTTCCAATACTATACATATATGCACGGCGTTATAGGAATGTGGATAAAAAAATTCTATGCTTACACAAAATTCCTTTTTATCACCTTAAACTGCTTAATTGATCAAATCATAAACATCACATTTTGTTCATGTTTTTTTTTTTATTTCAAAATTTTTTAATTAATTTCTTTATTATTATTATCGTTATTATTTTGATTTATTTTGTTTACCTTAAAAAAATACAAATATGTCAAAAAATTATAACTAAAAGGCTGAAGTAAATGAAATTTTGAGCCAAGAACTCTTAATTCAACTCTGGGACTATGATGGATATTTCCCCGGCGTTCAGGGTGATGACCCGCTAGGCCAGTAAGGACAGTTGATAAAGCTTTAAATCTCATGCTTGATAAATTTTATTATATATTGCATAAAAATGAGATTTTTTTACGTGTTATTTCTTTTGAAAAAAGTTTGAACCGCTGAATATTAAAAACCGAATGTGTGAAGGTCACAACTTGTTGTCATGACTCATGAGCTTAGAGCAGAATCATCCTGTATATATTATCCATCTATAATAGAAATTGAATTATTTGTATGCCTTTATAGCAATTTTCTGTACATAGAATTCACTTTTAGAATAGTTTATGACTAACAGAGTCTTGTTTTGGTTTGATCCTCACCTTATTCTGACTATTTCATTAACCCATCTAAATAAAGGTTGAGAATTTTTTAAATTTGATGTAAGAATTTGATAAAAAGCTGATCTTAAGTTAATCTTGTAATCGAGAGTATAGCTCTATCGTTGAATGGTTCAGCTTCATACCAGAAACCTTAGGTATCCTCATTTGAGAAGATGTGGATTCTCCTTCCACCAGAAATCGATACATCATAATCATTACATTGAATCTTTTTGATTCCTTATGACAGTATGATCCGATTGGGATGTTACACATGGTACCTAGTTAATAACTAAGATGTAAGGTCGACAAATAATATTTTCTTCGCATTTTTCATAAAATTGGTCATCAGTCGATAATAATTTACCAGAGATCGAGTGTCTAGTGTCTCATTATTACTATAGATTAGTTTCAACTCACCGCTGAACAAAACCTATTCAAAACCTATTAAATCTTCAGTTTCAGATCTTAACTCTGATTAACACAACAAAATTTCTACTTCTGATTAAACTTTAAAATATTGTTGCCTTCTATTATGCACAGTTTGAGAACCACAGACCTAGAGTCATTAAGGTTTTGCTCAAAGTTTTACATCAAATTAGAAATAGTTCATACCTCCACCCATCTATCTAATCGTTCTCTTAATCTTTCTTTTAAAACGTATCGAAATTATTCTGCAATTTTAAATTTGACTAATAATTAGAGACCATAGAAACATTGATCATACAATTAATCAGTCCGTTTCTGTGGTTTTAACACACTAACTGGTATTTTTCGCTATTATTCTTAATTGACCTTTAGGCTTTTGTCGATATAATACAAAATACAATCGTTACTGTAAAGTTATTTGACTGGGACAGAACGGGAAAGTCTGACAATTTAGGAAAGTTAGTATAACATAGATAGTTGTCTTTGGCTTCTAACTTATGATCAAAAATTTTTTTTTTCATATCTTTTTGCACACATTTCAGTACTTAAGAACACAAAGCTGTAATCATTCAAATCTTTTTGGACTTAATTTTTAATTTAATTCTTAGTTTTCTTCTACTTCATTTTATTTTTATAAATTTTCATTCTCAATCAGATAGCTACTAGCTGTTAGAAAGGTCTTAGACTGTAGATAATGACTCTCCCTATCCAAACTTTCTGGCTGTTTCTACTTTTTTTGTCAATGGATTATTTTTCAATGTGGTTTATGCTTAACAGAATGAACTTTAATAATAGTGTTTAATGTTTTTGATGAGCATTTTTGACTAATTAGCTTCTCGTAACCAATATAGGGCTACAGTTGAAATCTCATCTGTTGTTAAAAAAGGAGAGATCGACACATGGCTGACATTGGAACAAGCAAAGCACGGAATGGTTCATCTTCGTTTAAGCTGGATGCAATTGAGTTCAGATAGGAATGATTTGAAGGCAGCTTTAGAAGAAACTCAAATGTTACGTGTTACTGACATGAGCACTGCTCTCTTAACAGTTTTTGTCGATTCAGCAAGGAATCTACCTGTAAGTTGTTTCTTAAATCTTTTATACACATTTATAGCTATCATTTGTAATGACAGCATGCAAGACAAAACGCAAATCCTGACGCATACTTGACATTAGCTGTTGGAAAGAAAACTGAACAAACAAGTGTTCAAATGCGAACTGATTCTCCAGTTTGGTAAGTATCCAAATGACATTGTTGATGAATTAAAATCAGCAACTTCATTTTCACAGGGAACAAGGCTTTACATTCTTGGTAGCTAATCCTGAAAACGATACACTTCAAGTGAAGATTATGGATCAGAAGACAACAAATCAAATTGGCACCTTTACTTATATCATTGCACATTTAATGGACAAGAAGAATATGGAAGTTGTTAGTCAACCTTTCCAACTTCAAAAGAGTGGTCCAGAATCAAGAGTTACTATGGCATTAGCATTGCGTGTACTCAAACGTGGAGTTCCTATTGAAGATGAAGAAACTGAAAAGCCCGATGAAGATGTTAAAGAAGAATCACCAAAAGCACCTTTAAGGAAACAAGATTCAAAAATATCTCGTGCATCTGTTAATGCAGCTATTAGTTCTGACTCTTTATCGGTTGAAGAACCAGCAACTGCTTCAAATGTTTCATCAAATCTTGCAGCTGTTCCATCATCACCAACTGCTTCACTTAAATCAGCATCTAGTTCATTGGGACGTAATCCATCAATTAAATCACTTGGTGTAGAAACTGGCCCACTCGGTGCCATCAACTTGACTGTTCAATATTCTATGCAGCGTCAACGTTTGATTATCATCATTCACAAGATTAAGAATATTCCATTGAAGGATCCATCAAATATCCCGGATCCATATGTTAAGTTATATCTTTTGCCAGGACGTTCAAAGGACTCTAAGCGTAAAACAGCTGTCGTTAAAGACAACTGCAATCCAGTTTTTGATGCCACTTTTGAATATTTAATATCCGTTGCAGAATTAAATACAAGTCAATTAGAAGTCACAATTTGCACAGATAAGCTTATTGGATCACCAATATTAGGAATGGTAAAGGTTGATTTAAATGATCCCGATATCCAAGGAACTGGAAAGAATACTTGGTGGGATTTGAAGCCAGAATTTAAATCAACTGACTTGTAAAAGCTTTTATTTTTTGTCATTTAATCTCCCACAACTACCCATGCATTTCTGTTTCTAAGAATCTGTTTTTATGAATAATCGGTATGCCATATTGCAAATGAATATTAGTCTCATCTCAATGTGTCTTCGTATAGTGTCTTTCTCATTATGTCGATATGATGAGTTACATAATTTTTGTTGTAGCTGATAAGTCGTCATAAACTCGTTTTCCCTATTACAATAATCTCAGTTTTTTGAATCTATCAAAACTTACTCGAGCATCAAATCCCCTTTTCGCCATCAGACAATCTGATAGTTGTGCTGCTCGGAATTTTTTTCTCTCTAGCAACATCCATTTTTCTGTCGCTAGACGCATTTTTGCACAAACTTTGTTATGTGTCTTCATTATTTATTCAACACCTACTCAATTAAGAGTCAGAAAGTCAATGGAGCATTTTATTTTATTGCAATTTGATTAAGTATTGCAAAACTTTTATAATTGTCTTTCATCATAATCAACAAATATTTTTAACCATATTATACAAAACTTACGAAAAAAAATTTATTTCAAAATTAATGAGCAAATTTTAATTCTTTTAAAAATGTTGAAAATAAATTTTAAATTATGAAAAATATTGGAATTGAGGTTTTTGATATTTTATTAGCATGTTACTTGTATTGTCAATTAATTACCATGATTCTCTATAGGAAGCGTATTGTGTTTAACAAACAATGTTATCTTTACGACGTTGACTCAATGAATTTCTCTGTAAATATTTCCAGTGAGAAATTTCAAAAAGCTATTCTAGTACAGATTTTGAAAATCATTCGACAGTTGGAGAGATTTTGAGTTGAAAATATAATTTATATTACCCCTTAAAGTTATGCAATATATTATCGTAATAGAACCCATTAGAACTTTAATTTAAGTTTAATTTTCGAACTCCCCCCCCCCCCCCCCCCTACCCCCTCTGGCTATGATCCTGCTCATGTTTAAAATGAAGGCACAGCAAAACCCTAGCAACAAAGTTGTGGCACTCTGATAAACTTCTGAAAAGCATAAGTGTGTAAGTTGCAGTCTAGCACGCTTTATGCTTTGCAAAGTGAGCTTCCAATTGATCTTAACAAAAAAGCATTCCTACTGAGTACGGAAATTTCTCTGGTCATAATTCATATACATTAACATTGTATGCATATCGAGCATTTTGTAGCTTATGAAATATAATCTAATCTATTTGTTTAAGTATAGAATAGGCACTTGGATATCTCGTTAATGTCTTCACTTGCATAATTCATAATTTTTATATTTTGCACGAGAAAGATGTTAATCAGCGGATATAAGCGATAGCGTTAAGCAAACATGCACCTTTATACCTTTCCTCATTAGATACCATATTGCGCTACGTTCATTGCTGTCTTCTACATAAATACATACATATGTGGATACGGTAGCCATAAATGATTTAAGTATCATAAATAAATCTCTATGCCTTACCTGTCTCTTGGAGACTTGATCTAAAAAAAAATTATTACATTCGCATTCCTTTCTACTTGGCAACAAGCATGAGCACCAACAAATAAGTGACTATAGTTAAATATATAAAAGTACATAAATATTCGCAACTTTATGGAAATGAGCCGAGTGTGAATGTACATTATATGCCTGATTTGTATTATAAAATGTCAACTTGATGTCATCAGATGCATTCATCATCTACATACATATATACTTATTCACATGTACAAAAAGGATTAATTATTATTCACTTGAAGAAAAGTATTTTGCAAAATCACGAATTATGACTTGAACAATTAAATAATTAATGCTGGCTATTCCACAATAATATCATGTTTCAAAATTTCCCATTACTTTATGATGTCCATGTGAAGATTCACAATTTCAGAGATTTCCAACAGTCGCAATATTTCATAGATTTATAAAGCGTCTTTATAAAGCCGAGGGGGAAAACAACTTGCTGGGAAAAATTTTGATGTAAGATTTCTCGAATATTCTTAATAAATATTATGGCCGGAAATTGGTGAGGATTGCTTATCAAAAACTTTACCAAGCATGTTGTTTTCACCTTAATTAAAAGAATCAGCAAAGCTTGAAATTCAATAAATTTACTTATCTTTACGAGGAGAAAACCATTTGATGGGGATCAGTAGAAAATAAATCTGCAAAACTGATCAATTTTTTTTAATTATTTTGGATGATTTTGATCAGTTTCGTACTCTTGTTGATAACTTTCCATCAGCAATTTTAACCCATCAAGTTGTTTTCCCCTCGTAACTTTATAAAAGTATTTGATAATTTTCTGTTCGACTGCACAATGATTCAGAATCGGAAAAAATGTTCAAAAATTCAAAAATAACATATTAATTAAACTTCATCTTTTAAATGCCAGATTTAAGATCTTAACTTGAGGCATATCCTATGAAAATATCTCGTCCCAATTTGATGTCTAACTCCAGAAATCATTAATTTATTCTCACCCAAAATTTGTTTACAATTTGAGTATGAAAAAAGAAATATGATTTTTTCTACTTTAAGTTGTTATTTGGATGTCTTGGAAGCAGTTGCTAGCTAATTTAAGCTTAGCTTTACACATTAAAACAACCAACTCAATAGAAATCTGCTTATTAAGCCTTAAAAATGGAATTGAAATCTGAGTATTTTTACAAAACTTAAACTATTCATAAGTTAAAAAGTCTTCCAAAGACCTCTCTGAAACCTATATAAATCAATTAAATAAGCTTAAATCTATCTCCCATATTACTGAGGACATGCCGTTTGATACTGTTTTCGAGATATTTGCGATCAAAGTTTACATAAATTTTCATACAAAATTTGATCATGCACAATATTTTTTGATAAACTTTTACAAACTTTTGGTAAAAAATCATGTTTATCCTTTATATTAAGGACTGATTTTTTGAGCAATGAACGAAAACATTATCTAGAAGATGCTAAAAGATTCAAATCAAGAGAAATTAACAAAAACTTTCAATTTTGTAATGTGTCGGAAAAGTATTGTGCACAAGGAATTTTTGAACATTTTTTCCGAATCTGAATCATTGTGGACTGGCGCCTTTGAAATTGTCGCATTTAAATGTACACATTGGATGATAAAATGTGTATGCATTCTTCAAAAAAGGGAATAATATTAAAATATCATTGTTTAATATGCAGCGTAGAGTGCCTTTTTTCTCTCATCCACAGATTGATTTATTAGTGTTTATTTTGACATATCAACAAATTGAATTCTTACAAAACATGCAACGACGTGTTGCTGTATCTTAAATGGCACTTTCTGTGAGAAATTGTTTTAAATGGACTTAACTTTATGTTTTGTAACTTAGTTTTAATCTGTTGATAAGGATTGAGTAAACTGGGTCTCATTGTATCCAATAAGGATATTTTAAGCTTGTTAAGTACTTTATTGGCGACATGCTGTATGTATGAGGTCATTATGATTTTTCTTAAGTTATGATCAATATGGATTTTGATCCACTGCTTACTAATTTATACGATATTATGGTTTTGGGAGCTATACAAATTATATATGTTCCTTTAGTTGTCGTCAACAACTTTTACTGACAAAGATCATGCTTAATTATCAACTATTCAATTATCTATCAGCAATGAAAATATAAATTAATATCAAGTAGAAAGACATGAAAATGCACTTAATTTAATTATTGTCATAAAGCTCGTTACGTACGTTATCACATTACAAATCGATAGAAAAAAATTATTGATTTTGATCGATGATCGCGTATCGCAAAATCCGTTGTGTTTTCATTGATTTTATTTTTTTCATCTAAAAAAGTAGAGCACACGGCAACTTTCCATATTGGCATATAGTGACTGAGTATAGAATCAAGATATATAGTTGATGCTGAATAAGGAGAGGAAACATATATACGCAAGATATGTAGCTGAATAATTAAAAGAACATTCTAAAAATAAAACTTACAGCGATAAAATGAGTCATCATATTGCAATATTTACGAAAATGGGGATGTAAAAAGAACTTTACAGTTTTTCTTCTTCCTTTTATGACTTATTTGTATATTGCCGAGTGTTTATAAAAATGAATGTTTATTGGTGATCGATATACATACATGATGAAATCATGACTGACTGAAACACGATCTATGATCTTCACCTTAAACTTCAATATTTTTTTTTAATTTTACTTTATGCTTTGTTTGTATTGTTAATGTTTCAAGGAAATATTACCTTGCTTACACTTTACTATTTAAGGAATATATATCTTGTGTCTATATTTAGAAGGAAAAATAAATATATTGAGAATATAAATCATATAAAGTAGCTTTATCAATTCATTAAATTTCATAGTCGATACTTGATTAATGAATTATCAACAATTCATTAATTAGATGTCTTTATTTAATTATTTCAATCAATTCTGCTCTTTTGATTGACAATCATGCAGACATCAGATAGCTATTACTACCAACTACTAGCTTTGTATCACGTAAACTGCATTATAATCTTGAGTTGTTTACCTGAATCGAGTAATTTTAAGCTTTTCTCATTGCAATCTTGATCATTTTTCTCAGACAGATACTTAATCGATGAATAATGATGAAGTCTCAATAATTTTCTTTATCTTTAAATGCTATCGTTGATTGAGATTGCTGCTTGTGTTTACTTAAGGATGATTTGATTGACAACTTTATCTGAATGTTAACAAAATGAGATTTCAATTTATAAATTTCTAGATATGAATTGTAAGGAAATAAGTCTGAAGTTACAACTGTTTAAATGTTCATTAAAGTTATAAAGTTGTTGATTCATCAATTGAGTAATTAGAGAAATGCTATTTTGACTGAAAGGAATATATTTTTAAACTTTAATTCATTTGCTTCTGATTTCATCAAACACTTACTCTTTACTCAAACAACTAAGGTCTTCACTTATTACGTTACGCAAAAAAAACAATTTTTCACCCCCCCCCCCCCCCCTTGTTACAACATGTTACAACTCACACCCCCCCCCCCCCCCCTTGAACGTTCATAATTTCATTTTATTTCTTTTAAATCTAAAAAGACGGTTAAATTTCTTTTTTTTTTCTTAAACATCAAAATACTGTATAGCTTAATAGGTCATGTTTTGATTGATACTATTAGTATTCTCATGAATTATTGGATTAAGATATAAAGCAAAAATTTGTTTTTTTTTTTTGAAGAAAATTCAAAATTGTCATGAAAAATATTATGACCAAATTTTGGAAAATTCAATCAACTTTGAATGTTAATATCACAATGATGGGATCATATTAATCATCATATGAATGACAGATTTAGAGAGATTTACTTTTAAACTTATGATTGATTTAATTTTGAAAATTTCCACAAATTATGATTGTATTTTAAAGTCTTGTAAACCAGTTTTCTGTTGATTTGTTACTTTATATAACAAAAACTATGTATTGCTTATCTATCAAAACAGATCTGGACATAAATCATTAAAAAGGTGAAAAATTTAAAAAATGTTTTTGGTGTGAATTTGTAAACAAATTTTTTTCGTGAACTTTTTTTTAAAAGACAGACGACAATTAGAACGTTACATACTTCTTGACCCCCCCCCCCTATGTTACATTGTGTTACAATTTTTCAAACCCCCCCTCCCCCCTAAAATGCGAACGTAATAAGTGAACGGCCCCTGATGCGTATTTACGATTTAATTAAGTCAGTGCTATGATGAAATAAAAGGTATAAGTT